GGGGGGGGGGTCGGCCTCATTTCATTCGTGTGATCTCTTCTTTTCGGACCGATGGGATGGACTGTGGATGAAAGCGACGCCTGAGTGACGCGTCGCGTTGCATTCCTGCATACGAGCTTGTTCATTAGCGCCATCAATGTTTCAAACGGTAAATCCTCTGATGTGATGTACATTTTTTTTAAAACGTCAATCCCCTTAAAGAGAGACACGCTGTCAAATCAACAACACAAACAATGTACATGTATGTTTTTTTCTTTTTACGGCGAGGAAAACTGGCACAGCGTCCCGACATTAGAGGGAATCCATCAAAATAATGATCTCGGGGCCACTTCATTATTCACAGAGAAGCAGCTCGGCTGTCCAAATAAATTATCATTGCTGTTCCATTAGTGGAAGTTCTCAAATCTCGCCACAGCGGAGGCCATTAATCTGTTTCTCTGGAGTGGTATAAGACGCGCTGAGGACGAGAAGCCCCCCCCCCCCCCCCCCCGCTGTCCTCATCCACTCTGCTGCTGGAGGAGGAGGCCCAATTATGATGCACGTTAGCAAGCGCAACGCCAGGCCGGATCACCTCCCCGAGCTGCACGGTTTGCATTTTCCATTCACTGCTGAGGCGATATGTGTTTACAGGCTGCAAAGTGCTGCCGGGTGTCTGACCCCCCCCCCCCACCCCCCCCGGCGGAGCGCTTTCAGCTAATTCGACACATATTGCATTTGTGAGTTAGATAATCGCAAAGCCAAAGAGGCTCTTCCGGCCCCCGGGGGGGGGGGGGGGGCTCCCCCCTGCACACACACGCCCGGACGCCGGGCAAACTTCCAGACGACGCACACGGTTAATATTCTGATTGAACATTGGTGGGAGAACCTTGAAAAGTCACACGCTTTGCAACTTCCTGAGACTTTAATGGAATTGCTTCTCATAACGTTGGCATTCACAGACTATTATGTTTTTCATTATGACAGCCTACTGCGGGAGTCAAACTCATTTTCATTTTCTCTGGATGTAAGAGGGCAATAAATCAATTCATCTCAATGCTATACAGGCTTCATTATCAGACAAATATTGAAAGTGAAGTTCTGTAATGTACGGCTGGCTGCAGCGTGCGTGGGAGAGAAAGCGAGCCTTATAAATAAGCTGTGCTTGTGCTTGTCGGCTCTCCAGCTCAATTCGCTCCTTTGATAGAAATAATCACTTCCTGGAGGGGTTGTTTCCTCCCTCTCTCCATCTTATTAATCACCAGCTCTAACATACATAACCTCCGTCTGCCCACGACGCCGCCATCTGCTTCCCGGCACAGGTCACTGACCCCCGAGTCAGGTGGGGAATGTGGGGCACTATTCAGCAGTGGCTTTCTCTTTTTAGTATACCTGTGGGTTTTCCGTTGATGTCTCGCAGTGCCAACCGTTCTCCGGCTTTTGGGCCTAAAGGTGGAATGCATGGAAGTCTCAGTGTTTTCTGACCTCTTTGGGTCCAAAAGCATGATATCGCCTGCTATCTGAGCACCAGGAGCAGCAAAACACATGGATTGGTTGAGTCACTTTGAATTTCAAAGATTGCAACAGATACAATGGTTTGAAATGACGCTGCAGATACAAAACCGTGTCCAAAATGTGCTGCAAATGTGAAATAATTAAGTATCCAGACAGATTTAGTTATACATTTGAGCTCTTTTTATCGGTCCGTGGACTATTTCAGCGGTTACAGGTGTAACGCCTTGTTACGATGTTTAATGCACACGGCGTCCATCTGGGAAAAGCCGCTTAATTCTCCCCTTCCTCCACAAAAGCCGGCTAGGCCAGATCAAATTAAGTGGTTTGATACTTTCTCTGCCAATCGGATTAAGGTGATTAATTCCCAAAAGTGTTTAAATGATTAAAGCTGGTTAATGGGCATCAGGAAAGTTCACAGTGTCAAGAGATGGCAGCGATATCAAACAGGGGGCGCGTGGGGGAAGGGGGGGTTAAGTCAATAAGGGTAACTGTAAAAACGTTTTCTGCTTTACTGCTGTCAATCAACTGCACATGAGTACCTGCATTTGCAGCGGTTATAAACTCTCTTGTTTCTCTGGATTAAATGACTCTGGGGAGGAAATGTGCATCTGCTATGTGGTGACACGGTGCCTAAATATAGAGCGGGAAATGGAGCAGAAGAAGAGGCCACAGAGTGGACCATAAATATGCACAGTGCACAAGACAAAAGTCTGGTCCAAAGATAAATCTTCGCTTTTCACGAATTATGCCCCACGTGGCACTACTGAGTTTATTCCTGGGCCATTTGCACACAGATCTTCATTATAAAATGCTCCTCTGGATGCTGCTGCGAAGGCTGATGGAAAGACAGAAGAATAATGGGTAGATTCCGGTCCCCTCTTCTAATAAACTCATCTCCTGAGGGAGGGGAATCCATCACGGAGACGGCCGTGCTGTTGTGCCTCGTCGCCTCCTGCATGTGAACACAAGGTGAATGTGGGAGAGACGCAGCTCATGTGCGCCAGGTCTTATGAATGCGGCGCCATGTTTCACCCATAAAGTCTCCATCGGCGCCTTAATGCATCTCCCAGAGAAAGTGACAGGGCCTCGGCTTGCACATTATTAACTCTAGACGTTTTTATGAGCCGGTGGAACTGAGTGCTCCTTCTGAATAAGATATGTGTCCCGTGTTTAGTGACTCTGCATCAGTCATTCAGTTTCGGACAAGGCAAAACATCCTCTGATGAGCAATGTTTTTAGGGCGGGTTTCACATGAGATCAAAGCCCCAGTCGGTGTGCCTGTAAACAGTAGTTATGTCATAATTATTCCCCAGTGAGATCAAAATGAATTAGTCTTAGTTTGGCTGTGTGGATGTACTATGTAGCACATTTGCTTGCATGGGAAATAGATGCATCCTTTCATTTAGACAGAATAATACAGTGTGGATCATAAGTAGCAGCTTAGCAGAGGGGTCAGGGCTTTTATACCCAATTGACACACGCGTGATAAATGCATGAGATTTGTCTAAAGTGTTAATCAAAAATAAATGCGCAGTGCATTTAACGGTGGTTTATTCATTCAGAGACATTGATGAGGAAACATGAAGGTAAATTTGCACATTTCGGAGAAACGAGAATAGAAAAGGAAACGATGCCGTGGAGGGGAATCCTGAATCCACGCGGCGGAAGGAGAGCTTTCTAACAAATGTTTTGTGGGCGTTTCTCGGAGGGGAACAATAACACTGAAAACAGCTCGCAGGCGAGTTGTGCAAATAAACGCACGCGATGCGAGCCAAACATATTCCCACGTATCCAGCGCCGCTGTGGGAGGACGCGCGGGCGGTCGCAGTCGGGAGGGGGGAGAGAAGAGGAGGGGGGGGTGTCACATCCGCGCTCACGCGCCCGATCGGCCGGCTGGAGAGTCACCTCGTTCCGGGGCGAAGTGTGCCAGACGGTGTGCGTGCAGCAGCGGTGCCGTGGTCCCGAGTCCGCTGCACCGCGCGCGCGGCGGAGTAACTTCCCCTGGTGGTCGGGGGGCGCGCGGGCGCGCGCGCGCGCTGCGCTGCGATGGCAGAATCCCAAAAGTGACGATGTGAAGTAGAAAGGTGCGTCCGTCCGTCTCGACTCAAACGCGCCGAGGAGCGATGCCCGAGCGAAGCTGCGGGAGAATTTCCCACTACAGGTGAGGGTGATGTCTTGTTTTTTTTATGGGAGATGTTTAACCAATAGAATCCTGATGATATTCCTCGCCTCTTATTCCGGGGGAAATATATGAGATATCGCTGTGATTGAAGCGGGCAAAAGAAATATGAACATTTCCGGCACGATCAGCTTTAAGTGAGGTTATCTGGTGTGTTATTATCAGAATAATTGAAATTGTGTTTTTTTTCGTGTGTGTGTGTGATTGACAAATATATGAATACATTGTGTCAAAAAGAGAAGAGAGAGCTGGAATTGCTCGTGGTCATTAATAATTGTGGAGTCCAGACACACGCTGACATGAAGTGCACATCTTCATGGCGTGAGATGAATTATTTGTGCATGCGGGACTTGCTTTTTGTTGTCTAATGTGGTGTGTAATGGAATGCCCTGTTATCTGGAGAGCGGCTCAGCCTCAGAAGCTTGTGAGAATGGACACAGTGCTCGGTGTGTGTGTGTGTGTGTGTGTGTGTGTGTGTGTGTGTGTGTGTGTGTGTGTGTGTGGGCTCACATTCGAGCACCGGCCCACGTTATTCACGCTCCTCCACGCTGAACGGCTCACCGGCTGTGAGCGTTTGAGTTTTGTCTCACAGGGGTCAGCGAGGTCAGAGGTCTCCTGCGCGTCGTCTCTGCGGGCCGGCAAGTCGCTGTCGTGTAATACATGCAAACGGATGCAATAATATGCAACTATAACAAAAAACAGCTTGGTCGGGGTTCCTGTTTTATAGTTTTTGTTTAGTCAGACGCTCCACTGAAGGCATTTCGAGCATAAATCAAGCCCTCGGTTTTCTCGTCGGTTTCCAGTGAAATGGCTTTTTATAACGCTAACACGCGGGATGAACTCTTCGTTGGCCTAAAGGATCTGGCCGTTGGGGCTGGATTTAAAAAAAGAAATAAAAAATTAGTGTATTTGCGCACTGAAATCTGGACATGCTTAGAATCCACAGCTCGTCATTGGCTGACGTGTTGCCTTAGTGACGGCCTCTCCTGGCTGGTTGTTGTTGTTATTTACACAAACACTATTTTTCTCCACCTCATCCACCCATTTCAAGACGTGGACGGGGACTGACGAAGGCCGGTGCAGACAGTCAAATCACGCTAAGTGGAGCTCGCCACACTTTCCATGACATGTGGAAGATTATTTGTCCCTAAATGTTTGCATCCGAGGGTGTGAGATGCAACAGATGAACATACAGCAGATGGGTGGTTTTATGTGCCAGACTGATGCTAGTGAGAGGAATGACAAAGCAAGACGGAATAATTATATTACTAAAAGAAATCGATTATGTTGTGTGTTCTGACCACGCTTTTTAGTTTTTAATAAATCCGATTGTATTCTAATTGTTCTTATTCCTTCCAGCAACCAGACTGGCGAATGTTTTCGGGACCTCATCCTTTTGAAGCGGCCACCATGGAGAGCCTCAGCGAGCTGCAGAACCCCCTGCTGGACAAAACCAACCGACAAGCGGCGCACAACGACTACCAGGGCTACCGGTGCGATTACCCCAGCCAGCCGTACCAGGACAGCCTCATCGGCTACTACTACAACGGGACTAACGGCGAGCAAAAGACTCAACAGTTCCTGGACGCCAAATCTCTGCATCTGGCCGTGGAGGCCTTCTACAGACCCAACTTCATCCTGTGCAAAGACGACGTGAGCCTTCACAGCAAGGACTCCAAGAGCGAGAGCCTGGAGACCACTTTCACGGAGACCAGGGACGCGGAGACGGACGGAGCTTCCACGGAAAACCCGCTGGGCGGCACACAAGCAGAGAAGGATGCCAAGATCCAGACGGTGTCGTACGACGTGGAGGACGAGCAGGGTCCCGAGTACGAGGTCAGAGGGCACACCGAAGAACGCACGGGGCCCTTTGCTCTGCCAGGGTGGCGTTTTATCCGGAGGAGGTGTCTCTATACGAGTCAATACGTACAGTGTTTCAACTGCTGCCCCATGCGTGGTTTTCTCTCCGCTGTTTAAGCCGTATGGGAATAATTGCTGTAACTACGCGGTTTAAAGAGCAAATGAATGGAAGTGAGAGCGATTTGGCTGTGTGTTGAGATTGAAATGACAAGCGTTAACGCATACTTGCGGTGTTATTGACGGGGACGTCTTTCAGCTAAAAGTGAGCCCCGGTGTGGATACTCTTATGCTTATTATTTCATTTACCGTTGCAATATTACCGGCAGTGAGATTCACGCTCATTCCTCTTCTCTAAATTGTCAATTTACTGGAGTCTTTCAAACCCAGCGCCGGGTAAATGTAATAATTACATTCTCTAAAAAAGATGACACATCGCTCTTTCTTCACGCTCTTCAGAAGAGCCTTTTCAGAAGTGGTAAAAATGGAATTTCATCCAGGGACACTTGTGAAGTGCGAAGGTCTCTGAGGAGGACGTGTAGCAGCCTAACTGGGCCGATGATCACTTGGAGGCCGGACAGATAGATTGAGACACGCCATGAGTGCTGCGAGGGTACGGAGCTTATTCCATGTCGATTTAAAAGAGCAAATGAATCTGTTGAGCGGTGCTCAGCTGGAATAATAGACATTTCGCTCAGCACCTGCGTTTCTTCGGGCGTCTGCGTATTCATGTGAATGGCGAACGCACACACAAACACACAGCTCCGCACACCAAAAATGACACAAGCCAAATCACCAGGATATGGTCTGCATTTACCGCCACAAGAAAACTCAGCTGCGTTTTTGTCGGCAGGTGTGAAACAGAGAAAATAGTAAACGCAGGTCACAAAGTAGCAGGAGCGCGAGGGCGATGCAGGTGTGGGTCCGCGGGGCCGAATGTCCCCTCACGAGCCTGACGAGGCCTCCGAGAGCGCAGCGACAGGGTTGTTAGAGGCCCCCTCCGGGGCCTCCGTGGAGCCACACCAGACCCGGGAGTGTGTCCCCAGTGGGCCGGACTCGGTGTCCCACAGGCTGTCAGCGGGACTCAACGCGCCAGACACTCTGTTGTCGCGTCCTGCTACGAAGATGGAGGGGAGATTGCTGCTGTTTGTAGCCGTGTTGTGAGCAGCTGCTGTCTTGATGGATCACACCCGGCGGTCCAGGTGGGCAGCGTTCGTGAAGGAGATAACAGGGAGCTGCGTAATCTTGTCCTGGCAAAGGTATAGCTGCACCCGTTTGGCTACCTTCCACTTCCCGCTGCAGAGTGGACGCTTTCTGCGCGGAAACGTCTTTAAAGTAGCACAAATAACTCCCATTAGATTCCGCAGGTTTGCTAAATGGAGATCAGATCAGAAGCCAAAAGCTCCTTTCTTCTCCGCCGCCCCCCGACTTTAATTACCTCTAAAACGGCTTGTTTATCGATTTTCATTTTGGCCCTCCCTTTTTTCTCAGCTTTGATTGATCCCTGCAGGCCACGGGACAAACAAATAAAACCCGCCCCCTTGTTTATCTAGACAAACAAATGCACCGGCAGCGTCCTCTTAAAAAGGTCACCCGTGCGGGGTCCCATCGCCGCCGCCATCCGGTGACCCCCCCGCGCACAGGGCGGAAGAAAACTCGTTAGAAGAAGCCGGCACGCGTTGAGAGAGGGAGATGGCAGAGTCTCTCCTCTCGCGTCGCAGAAGCGATGGGCGCCGCGTAAAAGGACAACGCAGGTCTCTCCTTGTCTGCCCCCCCCACGTCACCTCCACTTAGATGGAGCGGTTCCGATAATTCCTGGTTATCTGTCAGCCGGCTGACGGATGCGGAAGAAGGCACAAAATCCTTCTTGTTGGCAAGAGCACATCATGTCCTGGGTGGTGGTGGAACGAGGGCGGGTGGGGGGGGGGTTTGAGTTGTCAAGCTAACGTTGTTCAGAAATCACCAGCCGGTATTAATTTTGTTTTTTATTCAGGTCCCAAGGTTCCTGTCTCACGTGTCGATTGTCTTTGGAATCAGTCTCATCTTCTCCCGCTGCCTTGCAGAGTGACAGCTCCAGTGACAGCGAGAGCGAGGACAACTTCTTCGTGCTGCCCCCCCGGGATTACCTGGGCCTCGCCATCTTCTCCATGCTCTGCTGCTTCTGGCCCTTGGGCATCGTTGCCTTTTACTACTCTCACAAGGTAAAGAGAAGAATAAACCCCCCGCAGCCCGTCGTTAACTGTGATTACTCAGCATTCTATTTAAGGTCAGCGAGCACAAGCACTCAGACAACTGCCACCGTTGCCCCTTTTTTTTCCTGCCCGCCACCCTCCCGGCGGTTGCTTCAGATTCGGACGACCTGTCGGCCCCTTTGTGTTCACTTTAGGAAGCCGTTGAAGGTTTTTTGTCCTCGGCGTGCTTGTGTGAGCAGTGCACTTTTATTACATTACTTTAAGCGGGTTGCGTCCACAGCGGAGACCCGGTCCACTCTCATGGAAAACATACATCTAATGTCCTGCAACATCTGTTGGTGGCCTCTACGGCCTCTTCTTGACATGAAAAATAATGCGGCAGCAGAATAAATAAAGGCCAGGCTCATTTTTTTGTTGTTGTTGGAATCCAAAACACACCAAATAACACATTTGTCTCCGTCAGATGGGTAATGACCTAATTGCCATGGCAACTAATGGCTCCCAAAGAGCATTTCTTGTTTTCTCCCTTTTGACGGTGGCCTGCCGCCTACTCGTTGCCCTCGCCGCTGATGAGTAAGCTGGTTTCCCTCTGCGCTTTGTTTCTTCCAGACAGGCAAGGCCATCTCCAAGGGAGACTTCTCCCGGGCGGGAATGAGCTCCAGGAGAGCGCTGTTCCTGGCGGCGCTTTCCATCACCATTGGAACGGGGATGTACGTGGGGGTGGTCGTGGCGCTGATAGCCTACCTGTCCAAGCCCGGGCACGCATAGCAACGCGTGGCATCGCATGGAGACGGAGGAAAAGAGGGAAGACGAGGTTGGAATAAAAAAAATGAAAAAAGGGGGGGGGGGGCTCTGCGATGAGAAAAGACTAAATCAGAGAGACAAGGGAAAATAAGCTGTGCGGACGGAGTGCTGCTGACAGCGTATTGATCCGACTGCATCTTTATTTCTGGGATGCAACACTCCCACCGAGCTGACGCTGAGAAGGACGACTACTCACAAAGACTGAGACGCTAAAGCCTAGCAGGACCTACCCACCTTTCACTGTCCTTTACAGCTGTTTCCTTTTACCTTTACAGTAGCTGTGTTCTCTGCCAACACTATTGCAGATTGTATAATTGTCCACTTTGTAAATTAATTTCTTAGAAAAACATGTGATCGTTTATTCAAGGAACACGCCAGAAAAGAAGAAAGTGGACCCTAAAATCCAAAGTAAAAAACACAAAGCGAGCCGCTGAGCAGTGGACAGGAGAGTTATTTGTGTTTATTGTGTACTGTAAATTAGGTCAATAAATACTTTTGGCATGAATAATGAAAAGTCACCTGCTATGTCTCTCATCTCTAATTCATTGTCTCCTCGACACTGCAACCGAGGGGGGGCTTCTAAATGGGGGATACTCCTGCAGTTGCCAGCGGCTATGTGGAAAGCTCCACTTATCAACAGCAAAATGAGGAAGACGATTGCTTACAGCTGAAACCGTCGAAAGGGTCCACAACAAATTGATCGTATGAAACACTACTTGCAGCAACATCAACGTTCTGCTGTTGGATATCATCCAGTTTGTATCACACACACTGAACCGGTGACCCGGACATGGATTGTGTGTTTGGAGAAGAGCGCGCTGTTGACCACGCAGCCTTTACACGGACACCTCGAGACCGACGGCCTCGCTGCCTCGAGGGGACATCAGCCGCCGTCTCTGAGGGCGACCTGTCAACGCCAAAACGAGAGCAGAGCTTCACCCCCCCCCCCCCCCCCCCACCCTGGGGAGGGGGAAAAAACAAAAATGGAAAACGCGGGGCCTCCACGTCCGCACGCCGAGGTCAAGAAGTAGAGGAGAAAATATGGAATACCCCCCCCCCCCCCTCCACGTCGTTTGCTGTACCTGAACATAGAGGAGCGGATTGCACGGCCTGACCTCTGTTATATCAGTCTGCCGCCTCCTTTGTGGCTTGTGGGGGGCGAAGGAGGCGCTCCCATCAATGGGGGGCCGTACGGGGTTTTAAAGTGGGCTCACTCGGCTTTCTCTCCCACTATAGACGGGGAGCTTCACCCACGGCCGCTCGCCCACACACACACACACACGCACACACACACACAGTATCCGTGACTGGTTCAGACCACGAAAAGTGATTTTTATTAGTCATCCGCCCCCGCGTGAATTAAAAAACCAAAAAGGTAGGAGCAGGTTGAGTGTGAACTGCAAATAGGCGTGTTAGTAGACTAGACTTTCAGTGTTATATCACATTACCTGTCACATCGCAGCGGATGACAGAAAGAAAGAGGGGAAATAAATTGGTGTCGCACACAGAACTACGGCGAGAAACATGATGAATGGGCTGAAACTAAATGGAAAGAACCTGAAAGGCGGCGCAAAGACAAAATGACATTAGAGCCGAGTGCTGCATTAATAAGGAGCGTGACGCTCACGCGACTGAAAGCCTTCTTTTCAGATTCGTATCGTTGCCTTGATGAAATGCCTGTCGCTGCTCACCAAACAATCGCTTCAGATTGCGCGACGCTTCTGCAAAACAGGATGTATTTGAAGTGGTGGAGCGGGAAGAAAAAAAAAAGAAAGAAAAAGGCCGTGAGCGTTGCATCCTTTTGTTTTTCTGAAGATCCCCTTGTGAAAAGGATAGAAAATGAAGAGCGAGAACGGAGAACATGAGTCAGCGAGCTCCGTTTTTTTTTTTTTTAAGCCGCCACCCGAAAAAAAACGCGGTGGGAGGAGGTGAACGAGGAGGATGGAACGTTCACGAGGGCTTCAGCTTTTGGGCAAATAGTTTTCATCTTGTAAACGTGGGAAAAAGGCTCTCGGCTCTGCGCCGTGTGACTGATGTTAACTCAGAGCCGCATGGTTCACTTGTTAGATTACAGACTAATGCAGGTGCATTGCATGTGCATGTGATCATGTAGGGACATGGAGCTGCAGACACCGATGTTCTAACATACGCAGATAACATTGTGTCTGACGTCATCTGACGACCTCTTACTTCAGCTGGACTCAACTAGCTGTTAATCAAGTACTAATCAAATAAATGGCACTAAAGAGTGAAGCGTCAGTCTGTATTCCCAGGACCTCCCACACACCAACTCTTATGTCAGCATCTGCCTCTGAAACTCCCTCCCTCCCTCCCCCTCGCCTCCCTCCCTCCCCCCCGCTTTAATATCAGCGCTAAGCTCATCTTTGAAGCCTTCCTAAAAACACGCTTATCTGCCCTCACACACACCTTTGTCGCACAGCGACGCGCCTCCCTCTGTGGCATTCGGCCTGATAAGGACCCCCCCTGCTCCCCCCCTCCCTCCCCCTCCCCCTCCCGGCCTCCAGCTCGAGCGACGAGGGACGTGCGGTCCAGCTCTCCTCGTGATAAGCAAAAGACTGCAACCTCAAAGACGCAGCATTTAGGCATTTAAGATATTTAAGATCAGGCGCACGGGAATGAGCTGGTTTTAATTGCGCCCTGTAGGTTCTGACCCTTCAGAGGGAGGGGGGCTGGGGTGGGGGGGGGGGTAGAACAGGAAATGTCGAGCACGGGGGACAAAAAGCCAGTTTGGCAATACTCAAGCAGGCAGGGAGTAACACAGCTGACATCCGCTCGGATGACTGGAGTTGGCATGTTGCACAGCCCCCAGATGGCATGCAGAAAAAGTCCGGTGAAACCCGGGGGGGGCTTTTGTGGATGGGGGGGGGGGGGCAGCTGCAGTGGAAGGCCGCCGGTGTCGTGCCACACACGTCGTAAATCTTTCTGGGACGAGCGGTCGAGTCCAACTTCAGGAGATAGCGGGTATCCGTTGCTACGGACAGCAAAGCGAGTCGGGTCCGTAAAGCCGATTGGGGCGGCGAAGGTTGCGATGGGACGTTGGGGCGTCCCACCATCCACGGTAATCACTCTAATCCATAAGGAGCTTTCAGATGCTTTCATTTTTTTGGGAGGAGGGGATAAAATAAAATGCATATGTTTATTTAGGGATTGGGATTTTAGGAATGGCGGAGGATTTTACAGCTGAAATGATGAGAGGGAAACGACAAGCTGGTGGAATTAAATGCGGTTTTCGTTTCTGTTATGTAACTCCCCTGTTTGTTCTCTTCGTGTAGTCAGACTCTAATAGATCATTGTGAAAGCCAAGAGTACACTCGTTAAACCACACTTCAATCAGCTGCTTAATCAAAAGGCGCGTGGGGATAATTCAGTATTATCACAAATAACACACAAGCACAATATCCTGCACAAACTGTGAATACTGATTTCAGCCCGGTTTGAAGTCCTGAGAGGATGATTTGTATCCCCATGAATGGGAGAAGAGTGCTGGCCGGCTCTGTGTGATCCAACCCTCTGGATGGCTTTGGGAAGAAAAGAAAAAAATAAAATAAACCTTGAGATGAAATCAGCCCCCAGCCAAGAAAGATCACTCAGCAGCAGTGTCGATCGCGGCTCCATTACCCACACCTGACAGCCTCATCACCCGGGGCGCCAGAGGAGTGACGAGAGACACCAATATCGATCAAGATATCAGATCAAGTCTGCCGTAAAAAAAAAAGTATTAATATATCACCTTTTTTTCCCCCCTGCCAGACAGATATGAATCGATGTGCATGCGCGCGGCCGCCTATTAGCAGGATTTTCATTTGTTGGCTGCGTTATGGAGAAGATGTAATTGTGAACTTGTGCAGGTTAACAGGTTCTGATTTTAAAAGTAGCTCAAGACTTCCTCCCTGTGTATGAACTGCTGTACTGCACGCAGACTGCAAGACAAAGGGAGGACGGTTTGCAATGAAATGCTCATAAAATGACATAAAGACAGATGTGATGTGAATGTGTAAATAATACGTACCATAGGTATGTCAATGTGTACAAACATTAGGACACACACATTGACACAGCATAGTGTACATAGTGTAACTTCTCACTCATGCATCTTATAACAACGGGCAGTTTGTGTGTGTTTGTTTATGTAATATATAGTTTAGACACAATGCATATATATTGGGCCACCTCTGAAAATACACACATTTCTATCTACAAATGTCTGAATGTCACTAATTAAGATTACTAAACATTATTTGACCAACATTACAAAACATAATTTTGCAAGAATAAATATATATATATAGTGAACTGATATTTTCTTATTCCCCACGGACTACACAATCTTCACGTAGACGTTTCTGAGCAGGCTAATGCGAAAAGAATGGCTTCGAGATCTATTTCCTCCAAACATCTGCAACACTCATCAAGGTACAGAAGAATACTTACTACACCTCACTGGCAGGAAGGCTCTGTTACATTTGATTTGACATATTTTAAAATATTATGATTTCCTTCCTCACTCACTCATCGTGATATGAATGTGCAATATTTTATATTTCGTCTGTGTGTGTTTTTCTTGTAGCAATACTACCTCGTTGGCTAAGTAGTACACAGTAAAGCACCAGAGGTTGAAATAATATAAGAATAATAAAAGAAGAGTAAAAGTGAATACAAGGATTATCAATTGAAGTTTCCTCACTGCAGCCTAACAAGCTTCAACCCCAAAACACACTGAAGTTCTGAGCACAACGGTGGCTGAAACATATTTTACAATCATAAAAATAATAAACCACGACCAAAGCATGAACAATCTGAACAGTTTGATCAATATGATCAATTTGATCTCTGTGACCAAACCAAAAACAGCCTGCGCAGCTTTAGCTTGCGCTCCCAGCTGCGTTGCTAGGCAACAAAGTCGTTGTTGACATCGGGGAGTTGCGCAGTGAGCTGCTGCACTCACCTGTCCACTGGTCCTCTGTGTCCCAGTATAACCAGTAAACGTTCCTCAGTCAACAGCATGTTAGCTAGTTGTGTATTAAAATGGGATCTGTAAAGAAGACGCAACATTTGACCTTTGGTCACATTGTTGGGAGAAGGTCAGATATCTACATGGTTTTAATCGGCAATTAGACATATTGGTGCACACAGGGATGCATACATAGCCTTATAATAATATGTCTTTTAAACGTCTCTTCACGTGGTGCTGTAATGACGCGCCTGTGCAGCAGAGGGCGCAACAACACAACGCATTCAGTTTAACGTCATCTTGTGTGGATCTCAACTCGGCAGCATCTGGAGCCCAGAGTCTTCCCAAAATGATCAGCGTGCACTTAAGCTCACCAATGGAATCATATCCCTCACAACCCCATCGAAAAAATAAATTGAATGTCAACGTTGCATTAGTCAAAATCTGTCCATAAACCTCCCTCTGATCTCACTCTGCGTGGATTGAAATGATCTTCTGAGGGTCTTCAACAAGCATTCTTTCCATCATAAGGGATACTGTGAATTACCTCCTCATATCCAATACGAACAGCTTGATCTCCGGCAAATCTGATTCATCACAACCTTCCATTGCACTCCGAGGGGATTAAATAGCTTTGCACTTAGAGCAATAATCCTCACTCTGTATGTCTTGGCCTCAATAACTGAATTGGGATGAGGGCTTGTGGAGGTGAGGCCTCAGTTTATTGCAAATCACTTCTGTCACTCCAGCTAGAATGGCCTTTGGCATTTAATTAATTCACCCTTAAAAGAGGATGTTGCTTGAATGTGAGTTGAATTACTCTGAAAGTTAAGAATAAACATTATGTTTTAACTCATGTAAGTATACTGAACAAACATCAGTGTTGACTTGTCGATGACACAAACTCAGGGATCATGTTTTAATGGTGGAGGAAATCTCAAGCACGCCTCTTCATCTGCCTCCAACTCCATTTACTTCAGACATCTTTCTCAATGGTCCCATGTTTATTTCTGCCTTGACTCTGAAGGCTCATGAACACCTTCAATGTCTTGCAGAGGGAATTTGTCCACACCGTACCTTTACTGCCAGGGAGCTTTATTCATTGCAGGTTAATTCCATCATCATTTCTTATTACTCTGACACACTCCGGTCCGTTTGCTAGCCGTTAATAATCATTGTGTAAATACTTCTCTCTGTCAACAACGTAATTTGCAACCTTTCCGCCATCAGGTGACATCGTGGTTCCGATCTTAGAGCCATCCGGCGCTGAGACCTGCAGCAGCGTACCGGAAACAGTCGTCCTGCCCTTTTAAATTGCACTCGGCCTTGTTGGGGTAGTTTTCAATTTTCCTTTTCACTCATTATGCGGCTCCAGTGGCAGGCTGAGAATGAAATTTAAAATGTGATATGGATTACAGCCAACGCGCGCACATAGCGTGTCGTGAAGCTGACATGATACAAAGCTTTATTTGGAAGATGAAGATCGGCGACTTTGTCTAAGTGTTTAGATTAAGAGGATGAAGCAGCCTGCTGCTCCTTTAATGGCATCTATCAAAGTGATTTGACATCAGCCGGAGGTCATCCCGCTTCTGGGGTTTTGCTTCCCCGCCCCCCTTTCTTTCCCCCCCCCTCCCTAACGCACTGGAGCCTCGGTTTAATCTGAAAGCGAAGGCTCTCAACTGCGACGGATTATCGGGGGGCTAATCCAAGCGTCCCGACGAGCGCCGCCAGCCGAGCGTCGGGTGACCACGAGTGGCTGCGGCGAGGCCTCGAGAGCTTTGAAAGGACAGCGGCTCAAACACACACCAAAAGCCACATTTGATAAAAGGTTATTTCTGTTTTATGGTTTCGTATTTTGCGTTTTACATATTTTGAAATGAAAACACACACAATTTCCAAGACTACATGTAAAGTTGTGCCTCAGTGAGAGGGATTCATATATCAAGTATGTACAGTGTGAAATGGGACAATTACTTTCTGTCGGTGGGATGTTTTTTATCAGAAATGTCACTATTCAGTAGCTGTGTGAGCAACATTAAAATGAAACGCACTCGTGGGTTACCAGTAGTCCCGATGAGTGATATAACTGTCGTACTTGATTTAATTGCCTCATCTTACTCTCTATATACACGATATTAACACTTTACTCCCCAACCCAGACAAATCCTCTCTACTATGCACGAGCAACAACGACCGTAGATCTGGAAGTAAATGATAAAAAGTGCATTTGGCATATCCTCTGTGCGGCAGTGAACCAGGTGATCTGTCTCCTCAAAGAAGTCCAGGCGAGAGGTCAGCGACGGGTGACCCCCTGCAGCCCGGCGAGCTGTGTTTGGGAAGCCCACCGCGCTCACTCGTGAGGATATCGGTCCGCGGGGGGGGGGGGGAACGCGCCGGGCCTCTAAGGGCTTTTCTCCTCCTCTGCAGGTCTCAGGGGATCGCCGGCCTTCTCCTCGGCCCCCCGCCTCTTCTCCTGCTCGCCCTCCGGCGGTCTGTCTTGAGAACCGTCCCGAGCACTTTGGCGCTGTGCTCCTGCGCCTTGGCCCTGAGCGCAGCGATGCTGTTCTCTCTCAGTTCCTCTTTAGAAATGGCGGCCTTGCCCTCCGACCTCTTCTCCTCTGCTTCGGCCTCTTCCGCCCTCTGAGGGGTCGGCTGCTGGGGCGCGTCGCACTGTCCCGTTGCCGCCGGGGGCACCGCGGCCTCCGTGGACTTTTTGTGCATCCCTGCAAAGAGTCGCGGGTATTCAGATTTAGAATAGCGCCTGTGGATTGGTAAGCCATCTTGGACTGAAAATAGCAAGCAAAAATAGTTGCGGTTTAGAATTTAGAGTTTGAAACGGATGATGTGTGGTCTTTGTTGACTGCTTTACCAGTAGAGCATCTAACACATGAGCACAGTATCACCTCGTCACTGCGTTGAATCATGGGGCGCATAAGCCCTCATCATCTACCATGAACTGTCGACGCGATGGGACAATGGATGCACAGGGTTGGGTGGGGGGGGGGCACACAGATGGAGCCTCACCGAGCAGCCAGGGGGCGCAGGACTCCATGACGCCGTCCTTGGCGGACTTGAGGATGGACTCCGGCAGGGGGATGGAGTGCCTCACCATGGCTCCGTAGAGGCCGTACTCGGCCATCACGGTGCTGCGGCCCCAGCACTTCTCCCGCTTCCTCCACTTGGCTCTGCGGTTCTGAAACCACACCTGTAACAGGGGGGACCGTTATTGGTCACCGGCGCCTTCACCTCCATACAAGACAGAAAACTCTGAGCGAGTTTGGGCTGCTAAACATTTACACTTCTGAAACAAAATGCTGTGCACTCATCATTGTGTTTTGGGTCTATCAGGCCTCTAACGTTAAGACTTTGGAAATAGCTTATTAGTCTTCTAAAGAAATCCAACTGCAGTGAGGAAGATACCACTTTTTAATAAGAGACCTTAAACAGGTTTTGGCTTCATGCAAAATCAAGAAATGATTAACTAATAATGTCTGATCAGTTATAAACCATCGATATGGGTCCACAGTCCACGTGGCAACTGCTCACGTCACGGTGTGGGTTTGTTTCCGGTTTTATTTTGTAGTTCCCTGCCTCGTTGTACCTGGGTGAGCGTCACTTCCTGCCCTGTCGCGTCATCGCCTGTGATTGTCTGATTGTTTCCACCTGTGTCCAATCACCTGCGCCGTGCCGGTGTATTTAAACCACGTGTGTCTCTTGTCGGTTCATCGCATGTGTTTCACATGTCGGTGAGGTTTCCACTGGCCTGTTAAGCTCTGTGATCACTAACCATTGACCATTACTAATGCTGCGCTCATGTTTTGTCCATGCACACCTCATTTCAGAGGAGACCTCCATGTCCCGTTGTGGTAACCGAGGGGTTTGGGTTTGGGATCGAGTCCATCGATTGGCTGCAGGTGTGCGGGATGCCTGCGCGCTGTCACCGCTCATCTCGTCCCCGCGGCCGCATTACAGCGGGTTTGACACATCGCGACGCTTCAACAAGCGCTTCAGCCTCTGCGGGAAATCCGTTCAGCTCCGAGGGGCCGCGTGAGCCGCGTGGCACCAAACACCGGGCTGTTAAACGCGTCGGCACCTCTGGCCGCGTAAAGAGAGAGGCGGGGTGTTCAATTGGAAAAGATCATGCCCCCCCCCCTCTCTTCCCCCCCATCTTATATAATTCTGATGATAACCCGTATTTCATACAATATATCTTCTTTTTTGTTGTTGGAGAAATTGCTTCTCTGCCGCTGAAAAGAAGCCCGCGTGGAGGAGTGACCCAGGGGCGCGCCGAGGCTGATTGAAAAATAAGTTAATTTCAGGCCCGATCGATGGCGGGGCAGGCGGGCAAATATCACGGGAAATTAAACTACCGGGACTCGGGGGAGCAGCGCTATTGACCCGTGCTAATAAATTCAATGTAGTTATTTCATTTGACCCCCCCCCCCCCCCTCCCAGCAGCCAGCTCGTCTGATTTAACTAATTACACTCAATAAGAAATTGGCTGTTAATTCTATGTGGGAGAGGAGCCGGTATTTGTTTATTTCCCCCCTTTTTTTTGTTTTTTATTCTCGGCCGCACCGTAATGAGGACGAGATTAAAATGCGGCCCAGCAGATGGATGGTCCGGGTCGCACTGCAATCTCCTTCCGCCTTGATAGCCTGATTAGGTCGTTAGTGGCTCCTTGAGAACAAATTGTTTCACATCCAGCGCTCCCCGATGAGAGAGCATCAGTCCCGGGAAGAGGCGCTGGAGGACGGGGTGTGTGTGTGGGGGGGGGCGTTAACAGCTGGAGGAAGATGCTCCGAAGTAAACATTCATAAGACAATACATGGAAAATAACGAAATGTGTTTTCAGAGACACGTGTTAGTGTTTCAGAGAGGCGATGATGTGCAGTGTCAGTCTAAAATACAACAATATCGAACGTGTCCGTCATGACTCAATAAGGGCCTTTTATTTTGCTTCGATCAGCCAAGCATTCTCATTTGGCAGAGAGCACGACTAATAGTATTTTTTTTAAATAACGTATTTTCTTACTTTCTAGTTTACAAAGCTCAAAAGAAAGAATAAAATGGATCGAAAGGGACCGCACGTGTGATTTCTTTCAGTTGTAGCCTTTTAGTCTATAATTACGCTTTTTTTAGGCTGTGTAATTATGACGTTTGATATAAAGCTCCATTCTTAAAGTAAAGATAAAATAGGTGCAATTCATATAAAAAACAATACAGTCAAAGTAGTACAAACCGAATAGTTACTATTAAGACCGAGTATTATTATATTACCTGTATCCGGTCTTCAGGTAGCTCTGTTTTCATGGCCAACATCTCTCGGGCGTAAACATCCGGGTAGTGCGCTTCATTAAAGGCCTTTTCCAGCTCCTCCAGCTGATATGAAGTGAATATGGTCCTGTGGAAACGGCTGGTCATTATTGGATTATTACTGGTTATTGGACGGAATAGATTAGTTCCTGCAGGAATCAAGCCAGTCTGATTTGAATGAAGATGTACATACAAAAACGTAAAGCAACATTTAACAGATTTATATAAATAAGATTATCTTTCATGTGCATGTAAGAAGTGTAGCAAAGCAAACAGAACATTTAATTCATAGTAAAACCAGTGATTTGACTATTGTGTGTTTGCTTAAGCCTAGAAATTAAAAAATAACGGAAAATAAATAATTGATTATGGTTTTTTTGGAGGCCTCAATACACGTTACTTAAAAAAATGCAGCCATGATCATTTCTGCAATTCTTCTAAACATGAACATTTCATCAGAAATCAGCACTAACCGGTGGCGTCTTTTCTTCCGTTTCTTGCTCTGATTTACTGATGACTTTGAGAGTTTTCGTTCATTTGAAGATAAGTCATCTGAATCTAGATACAAAAAATTAAACGTCAAAGAAAAAGTAGAAAAAATAGTTAATCAACATGTTTTTTTCACGTAAAATATTTTACGTTTTTTGCATATTCAGGATAGATGTAATACTAACTGTTGACACTAAAACATCACCGCTATTTTATAAAGCCATTTCATTTGAGTGATTTAATTTAATGCCACGCAGTATGATGATAACATTAACAGCAATAATTATAATTATTAATAAAATGTAAAAATAGCACACAGCAATGACGCGGAGTATTTAAAATAACGAATAAGACCGAGATCACGTCACCTGAGGTGGCGGACTGACCGGCGTCCAGCGGCCCGCCGGCCCCGCTGTGAGGCTGCAGGTGGACGTCGTGCGCGTTGGACAGCACCGTCTCCAGAAACGCGGGTTGCCGGTAAAACGCCGGAATTCTACCCGGGTCGATTAATCCCATCCCGACACCTACGCCCATGCCGGCGGGGCCCAGCAGCGACCGGGCGGAGATCAGGTGCGCCCCGGGCGGCAGCGAGCTCAGCGGGCTCCTCAGGGCCGCGGACGGCTCCTTGTTCAGCCCCAGTATCTCCTGGATGCCGAAGCCGGTGCACCTGGTCGGCGGGTGGGTCGCGCTGCTCTTCGGCTGGTGACTGCTACTCCCTCCGTTGGTACCCAGAGAGGGTTTCTCCGACAGGCGTAAACTTTCCGACAGCACGGAGCCTTGTTTCCCCGTCATGGTGTCTCCGGATGCTACTTGAAAGGCCTGTTTTATTTTTCGTCGTTGTTGTATTATACCGCCTGACAGAATGGTCCCCAGTGCATGATCGTCTGCATAACACACAAGTGTCCGTTAGAAAATGGTCCTTTTATCCAACAGGTCCATCCCAACAAGAGGCAGGACCCGGCAGCCAATCAGCTGCAAGGATTCAGGATTCCTGTGGATCAAGGATGCGTTATACGCCCTCTCGGATACATATCTGCATTTCCTTTCACGACTATATGGATAAACGGGGAAGCGATTTAGGCTGCAGAGACAGAATGGATCGAAATAGGAGGGGGACGAAATGAGAATAAAAACAGGGATTCTGCAGCATTACTCAAAACATCCGAAAGACTAAAAGTGACAAATAGAGAATACAATTTTATTGTACTATACATTTATACTAAACATATTTTAAACCATTATAAACTGACTGCAGACATATAATTGCTCAGATCAGTTTTCGTCATGCCGCCCTAATTAAATCATCTGAAATAGTGTAAAATTACGCCAATATGCTAAAGTAAATCCGTATATACCGTCGGCTCAATTGTTTACACACACCAACGCACAACTGTGATCTCTCTGTACCACCACTGGCTCACATGAATGGGTGGCTGGGTAATTGATCTCCAGATGCTGTGGGCAAAGTCATCACGCGAATCAAAGGCCCTCCCCAAAAACGACAGCTGGACGATCCGGACCCCGCGCGCTCCCGCGCCGCGTTAATCCCACAGCAGCAGATTAAACCGCAGATACATTTCCCCGGAGGAGCAGGGGAATTACACACAATGGGACACGAGTGGGAGAATATTAAATACTTTCCTGACCTGTTATTAATTATTAATGTATGCATTATTACAATAAAAAAATGTCATATAGGGCCTGAAACATTATCTTTGCATTGTGGAATACAGATGTTAGAGAATAACATTTAGAAAATTAGTAGATTTTGTATATTTACATTTTACTGCAGACTTTTTACATAAATTAGTTGATTTACAGTAAATAGAACACATACTTATTATACGTCATGTGATTCTTTTAATACGTGTATTTATTTTAATAAAAACAAAGATGCTGAGCAAATGAATCATATTCTTGGTGTTTTCCGTGAGGGAATTCTCTCATTAACATAAAGCTAATTACATTATTTTCCTGCCAAAATCTTAACTAATGATTATATACTGTTTTCATTTTTTTTTTACATTGCCGTTTATAGTTTTGTAATTAAAACCAAAATAAGGATAAGATAATTTTGTGGTCTTCCAAAAGCTTTACTTTGTACACATGCACGCATGTGCAAAAATATGATGCTATTGCAATAACATTTGAAGTGAAAAAGGAAACAAGCCTATCAGGTTAACTACAATATTAAAAAGAAACAATCTGTTGATACACAATGCACATATGCAAATGCTGAGCAACATTAACAAACATTCAGTACGAATATATCATATTTCAGTTTTAAAAAATCAATATTTTTTACCCTTAAAGTGTGATGACGTATGCATGCATTGATTTCTTCTCTACATGTCTCTTGTTTGTTCATTTGCACTTTCCACTCTGCTGCTGTAATCCTGCAAATTTCCCCGCTGTGGGACTAATAAAAGATTATCTTATGACTAATGCAATCTAAAAATACACAAATTGTGGCACAGAGCCTCAACCGACCCGCCTCGCAACGTCATTTCTCTTATCAAACGGTGTGAAGTGAGCTGCTGATTAAGAAAGGTGAAACATGTTGCTGCTTCAATTAATGGCTGGGCCAGTTGAAACTAATTAGGGCCTATTTAGTGGAAACCCTAATGAAGAAATCCATGTTATTAGGATATGCTAATGACACATCAGCCTGCTGGGATGAAGTCATCTATTAACAAGGAAGAGTGTGAGTCACGATGACCCGTAGAGGCGACGCCGTGCTGCCCCCCCTTTCACTCCATCACCTCTCCTGCTGCGATCGATGCGGCCCTCTTGGGTTTGATAATGCAACACGTCTCGTCTCTGTAATAATCTACAGAAACGGCCGCGCGGTGTTTTACATGCAGCGGAGAGGCCGCCTAATAAGGCTGTGTAGATTAAGGGAAGATCTAGTTCAGTCATTCGTGTAGATTGGGTTGCCCATCAAAGACCTGCAGGATCTGACGGCTGCAGATTAAAAAGCAAACAGCTGTTGGACATTTTTTTGTTGATGTGCCCCCCTCTCCCCCTCTCCCCTCCCTCTGCTCCCTTCACTCCTCCTGTTTTCTGTGCATGTGTCATTTTGGGGCGTATCGTGTACAATTTGAGTGTTCTCAGACCTCTAGAAGGGTTGTTATACGAGGACGCGGCGATAAACGTATGCAGCCCGTAACCTTCAAGAGGGCGTTCCTCTGCAGCGGGTCAGAAACTCATAAGCAGCTGCCAGCAGAAGCCGCCCACTGTCATGAATATCATATGACTGCTAAAGCTAAACATGCATCTGTGAAAATGATCAAGGCGGCCACTTTTTTGAGGTCAAACTGAAAGTTTTGCACGACTGATCTTTGCACGTAAATATGAAGAACGCCGTCTTTATTAAGTGTATCGGCGGAGAATGAAGCCGCGTCCTCGCTGCTGAAACCGGATGCACCGCGACGAAAAACGAAGGCCCAGTCAGAGCCTCTGCTTTTCCCAAAGCCCTGGATGATGCCCCCCCCCCCTCCCCTCTCCCCGGCACAGAGGGAGTTTGCAATCCCTGCAGCTTTTCTCATGGCTCCTCCACAATGGCATGTTTGGTAGCCGCCCGTCGGCATTGCTTAATTAGGCGAGCAGTTGATTCATTTGCACTAATTGACAGCTAATTTAAGGACTCGGGGCACATCGGATTGACACAGAGGCTATGTGAGGTCAAGGCAGTGCAGTGTGGATGGACGGATGGAGGGGCTCTAATGTCTCTCTCTCTCTCTCTCTCCATTTGGACGACCAGCTCTGTGGGAACTGACCCGTTTCTGCAGGAGGCTGCCCGGCTGAGGGGCCACATTGTGGATGTCAGGTCGCTCACCATGTCAACGCTCAGCGGGCTGAACGTTCATCGCGCCAGCGTCAACAAGTATGCAACCAGTGGTGGTGATGGTGGTAGATAAAAACAGCTGCAATCTCCCACAGCATCAGAAAACATGATGAGAACAGATGAGTTATTGTACCGGTCAGTTAAGCGGGTTTGTGGGGGGGGAATATATTCCATTTGTATCACTACTACTTAAAAAAAAAAGACAACGAAATTGTCTTCGGATCAACGGGTTCCTCAAAGCGCTCCGCAGTGCTCCTGCCCCGGACTTTTTTTATTATTTTTTTTTAGGAGGGGTGAGCCAGGGTCCGTGCGAGAGGCAGGAGGGTGAAGCCCCCCCCCCCCCCCCCCCCGGGGCAACGGCCGCCTCTGTCCGTGTGAATCGGGAGGACGATGAGGGGGAAGTGTAACTCGTCTGCAGCGACATCTCCAGCCGAGAACAGGCCCAGGCGTTGTCTCACCTAATTACGGCGGATGGACTTCTTTTTGTTTCCCGTTCGGCATGCCTGTCTGATTCCCTTCTGGCTCGGGCCGCTTGCCCCGACGACGCTGAAGTGTGCTAATAAGAAAAGAAATGGTTCCTAGTAATTATGTCAGCTCTCATTAAAGGCGATGACAATGCGCAATATTATTTTTACGCAATGTTTTGTGTTAGGGGACCCTGCTTCAAACGCTCATTAAAGTGAAAGCATGTCCCGGCAGCCGGGGAGCTTCTGACATGCTGCACTCGGAGGAGCAGCGGAAGTTACTGCCCTAATTAAAAGTTGGACAGTCTCTTAAAAAAAAAAAAAGTTTAAAAAAAAGTTAGTTGCCGTAGTGGCAAAATGAATCACACAAAACGACTGCAAGTGAAAGGCCGCCATCTTTGGAATTCTTTTCAAAACTTTATTATACAACTTCCCCCGTTTAAAACAGAAATGAGAATAAATAACAAACATTTCCTCCAGGCAGGTCTGCGAGCAACAGAGAATTCCAATGAGGAGCAATACATCGTTCTACCTTGTCTAGATGTAAAGGCATCTACATGAGGACACCAGGTGCACCGAGAGAAGACCTCCCGGTTTGAACCGTGTGCGTCATGGTCAACACATTCACGCTGACATTTCGCTTCGCTTTAACCAAACGTCACTTCTTGGGCCTCTCCAAAATATTCAGAAACTTCCCTCTGGTCATTTCACGGGCTGGAAGACAAGAAGACAAGAGGAAGCAAGGTCACGTGAGGGAACAAGACACAAACCCTGAAAACAATCTTTCAGAAGTCATGTCTTCCACAACATTTGCACCTCACAACTGTGGTTTAGTAATGCAAAGCATGTATTTCATTTCTACAGCGTCACAGCGGGAGGTGATTTATACGAACATCTGTTCCTCGAGGACGTGGAAAACAACATAAAATGGAAGCGCAGCTACCAAAGAGTCTTGTGATTTGCTTGATCAACGTCGCGCGGCACAAGAACTACGCATGCATGAAAGTGTGCATCTATGTGTTTGCAAGATGCGCGAGAATAGAAGCTAAATATCTCTATTAACCTCCACCTGTGAGAGTGGAATATGTAGGAAATAAGAGACAGGTGACTCACTAAATAAGAACAGGGAAACCACGTCCGAGCAGAAAAAAAAGACGCTTATTGAACATCTTTGGAATACAAGTCTGAGGAAACAGAAATTCTGCAACACAAAAGGCTTCTCCGCCCCGACACTCTTCCTGTGTTCGTTAAAGGCGAGTAGAGTCTCGGCTGCGTTACAGATCACGCTAAAACAAAGTCGTCCCCCTGCATGATGCCTGCAGGGAGAATGTGACCAGGCTCTCAGCTGGGGCTGCCTGTGTGAAGCCCCCCCCCCCTCAGGCCGGTTGTTAATTTAAATAAGTTGCAATAAGTCGCATCACCTTGAGGTGTCCCTCATTAGGTTAAAGATGATGCTAATTGCAATGGGATGGATTCATTTTGCACTTTCGCTGTCTCTTCAAATCACCCGAAACAAAGTGACCAGAGCCCCCGCGCGCGGGCAAACGGTGCTTAAGATTGGGCCGACGCCGTCGTACACCGGGAGGGAGAAAGCAATTACAGCGGGGTGACGCGGAAGCTGCGGGTGTCACGGTCAGATTAGGGGCAGATACGCGAGGCTAACGGGTATTTCAGGCTTTCCCCCCTCGCTCTGAGCACTATGAGGACGGCTGCGCCACTCGTGGGACCTCTCGCCCCGCCGAGGGTCTCATTAATTACGGCTCAGTCCAGCCTCGCCCTACGCGGAGAGAAATATCACTGATATTATCAAATTAAAGACGCCATTGAACGCGAACCCCGGCTGAATTTATTATGTGTGGTTGTTCAGCAGCTTTTTAGTGTATGACGGTTGGAGAAGGATACAACACAAAATAAAATAAACATGTGATAAGACATTAGTGTGTTTGTGTGTGCACTTTCAATGTACTCGTCCAATTATCAGAACATCGATGTTTGCCTGGAAAGTTTGTGAGTAAATAAAAGCTGCAACAAAGAGGAATGGAAGCAGATTAAGATGATAAATCTCCAATTTTTTGTTTCTACCTGAAATAAATTGAACGCTACATTGCGATGGACACTTGGACACTGAGACGGAAGCAGCTAAATGGAAATCGAAGTGTGTGATTTGATATGATGAATCACATCTTACGCTAACAGGTAGCAAGAATGTCGGAACCATTCATTTTTGTTTTGTGACTTTTCTTTCGTAAAGAAATATTCTTATTGTTTTCTTCTAAACTCGTTGGCTCCTCACTCCCACACACCAGGGTAGATCGATACTGATTAGTGGGACTTTGGGATTTGTTTAGTTGATTAGAAAGGTCAATTACTAATTTGGTAGGAAGTTAATCAGCATATTGTGTACCGCTGCCATCCATACTAAATGACACCGTATAGATCGCGTGGACCGTTGATTTGTTGATCTCTAATCCTCATTCAGCTCCATATCCGGTCTGAGGGGGGTGTCCCCCCCCCAATGATTTGACCCGTATTAGATCATCTGCATTGCAATCAATTTTTCCATAAAGAAATTTGAAATATCCGTATCCGCAAATAGTCACATGATGTAAACAAACGGAGCTCATGCTGGTCGTGTTCTGTTGGCAGAGAAGCCGGAGTGGGGGGGGGGGGGGGGATCACAGCATAACCCAATAATCGTCTGGCCGCAGATTCTGTCCTGATTAACGCTGCAGAGGCACATTGCGACAATAGAGATTAACCCACATCTGCGACCGGCGAAATGCGGCACGCGGCTATTTAGAATGTCGCCCGTTTTGGCCCGAACGAACCACCGAAGGAGATTCTGCAGAATGTTCCTGCAGTCTACGGCAGCCCGGCTGCGGCGAGTCATCTTCACCGGGACAAACCCCCAGGCGGCCCCCGCGTAAATGCGCTGGTGTAACATCTTACTTTCCCCTCGTTTACGGTGAGGGATCTGGGTGTCATTGTCAGCGCTCACTCGCGGCGCCCACCGATACTCCCCGGTGTGTGAAATGAGAGTAATCATCGCCCCCCCTCGCACCCTCCTCCCCTCCTCCAGCCGCCTCCTGGCTGCCTCTCTCCATGGCGCGATCCCAGCGAGCCCCTGGACCCCTGTTAACTCCAAAGACAGATGAGCACCTGGGTCAACCGGAGCCGTGCAGCCGGGATCGGACCGCCTCCATTCGCTTTCATTAAGCGGACTTATCTGACCCTCGCTGCCCGTCTCCGAGTGCTGCTCGGCTATTACGCGCTGTAAGCTTTATTTAATGGATTTAACATCCTCTTTCACCGCCCTCCGAGGGGGGGGGACAAGGAGACACGGAGGAGATGACACACACACTAGAGCAAAGAAACCCTCCGAGACACATGAACCAATGGCAACGAGGGAGAGGGGGAGGGGGGGGGGGGGGGGGTCGGGTCTTGCAACACATACACCTGACGCTCATGTTTGTGTTCAAAATTCAATTACCCACTTATTGATACTTCACAGGGATATTTAAGATGCAGACACGAGCTGTGATTTCCCAGGAGAGCCACTGGTTCCTCTTTATGTCCCAGCCGAGAGGGCCCGCCCCTCCTCTCCTCCTCCCCCTCCTCCAATGCATTCTCGCCTGGCTGACGTACACACACACACACACACACACCAAAACAAACACATCTGCACCTCCCAACCCCTGCCCCGTCCTATGCCTGTTCAAGAGGTGTCCTTATTAATAGGCAATCAGTCAAAAATCATTCATTAAAAAGCCTAAAAGGTTTTACACTCGCACAATGATTAGCTGGGAAAGAAAATCCAATGAATTCCTAATGCCTTTATGGAAATGAGGTGTCATTTCCGATCTGCTCAGGGACGCGGCAGGCAGGCAGAACCAGGCAGCGTTGTGTGTCTGTGTGTTGAGCTCTGGCTGCCTCTGCTTTCACGCAGCTTCCGGCAACGATGCAGACAGCGTCTCCCGAACGCTCACGTGTCGTCCTGTCAAAGGATGTGTGTGGAAGTGGACAACAACTGTAGCCGCAGCACCTCTCATCAATTAAAAATAGAATTACTATGGGAGCCGATCAGAGGGAACTAACGGCGCGAGGCCAAAGTCGACCAAAAAGGATAATCACAATATACGCAATAAGCCGCCTTCTCAACGCGGAGCAATGTTTTCCCACTCGTTGCGGCCGCGAGTCGGCGGCGGTAAACAAACGAGCGAGGGGGGGAGTAGAGGTGAGGAGGGAGGGTAGGAGGCTTCCCCTGTTCCTCATGCAGCGGCTGGCAGCTCGGGCACTTCATAACCGCCCGCCCCGCGGTCAGCCCGCCTGACGGATTGATGGAGGCACATTAGCACCAGTGGGGCCCAGTGAATGCAATCACATTCAGCAGCGGCGTGCCTCTAATAGGCCGGAGATTGATCCGCAGGGTGAGGAGGAGGAGGAGGAGGAGGGGGAGGGGGAGGAGGGGGAGGCCGAGGTGGATGCGGGCCCATTAGGAGCTGTCAGGCCGGAGTGACCTTCAGTCTCACCTTCAAACGGGCAGGAGCAACAGAGGTGAAGCCCGGGTGTACTGGGCCCTGCGGCGTCGAGGCGCTACAGGTGGTCCCGCAAAGTGATGCTGTCACAAAGGTATCAAAGCTTTCAATCACCGTCCAAAAACTATTCTCATCCATTGGATTTCAGGTTTGATTAGTATTTTGTTTTTCATTCCATTTCATTTTGAAGGAACTTTGTCAACCGTATCAAAGTAGCAACAACGATATGCTGTCTAAATGGATGGCGGCGTGTGGGCGGAGTGTGTTGTGCGTCGGTTTTTAGCCTGAGATAGTGTTTTAGTGTGATTTGCACAAGTGTGATAGAGCAGCATCACCCGCTCCAGCACTTTGCTCCTCAGCCCCCTTGCAGCCCAGGGCCTCCGGTTCGTCCCCGAGGAACACTCAGCTTTCAATTACCTCCAATAACAGCACACTTATCAGAGTCCTCGGCTTTTCCCCAGAGACCGGGGGGGGCTTGGTGCCCGCGCTCAGCGGCCCACGACAGGGGCATTCATCACGGGGCGGAGCAACAGCTGCGGCCCGGCGAAGAGGCACGCGTCGGGCCCCTCAGGGAGTACTTGGACCAGGCCGGCGCCACGCGGCCAGAACCCGGGGTGTGCCGGTGGAGGAGTAGGCGTCGGAGGGGATTAAGGAAGTGGTGGACACCCAGGCCCCGCCTTCACATGTGTGTTATTACATTTGTATGTTCCAATGTGAGTGTGCAGCAGTACTCAATGTGCAGGGAGGGGGGGGGGGGGGGGGACAGAAACCCCCCACCGGTGCTCTCTGCAGCGGGGCGCCTGAGTTTTCACAGCTTGATTGCCCCCTGCCCGTTAACCAGCTTCCTCTTTAACAGCCCGGAGGGGCAGGGGCAGTAAATCCTGTCCACCTGCCCTCTCCCCCACCGGGTCTTGTTTACGGGTACTGAAGAGCGCACAAACGTGATGAAAAAGTGGCTGAGATTTACAGCCCCCCCCCCCCTCCTCGCCGCCTCCCTCCGACAGCCAGGAAAAGGAGAAAATTAAACCAGAGAGCGTTAAACAGGCGCCAATCACAAGGCTGCTCCGACACCAATAATAACCGCCATCGTGTCCCGTCATCCCGAGGCGCACGGCGCGGCCGCAAAGCCTGCGGGCCTCCACTTGTGACAGCTCACGTCTTTATGAGCAGCCACGCTGCTGCTGGTTGAGGGGAGTCGGGATTAGATGCCTTTACAGCGCGCGCTGCACAACGCACAGCCCGTTAACACGTGGTCACTCACACGCGGGCTTTCTATCTTTGTTCATTAGAACCCGCGCAGAGAACATTGCAGTCAATCAACAACCCCCTTGCTCACAATCAGAAGACTTCTTCTTCGGATCATTTAAGAGACGCTTCCCCCCGTTGCATCTCTCACATTTCGTGATTTATGTTTTGCATAATTTGATTTGCAGGCACAGGCTTTTGTCTTAATGGAGTTTTACAAACCGGCACAAGCCAGCGGCACCGTCTGCATCGCGCCACATCGTATACGCATGTGGGTTAAACGTAACCGACTTTGAAAAGAAAAAAGTCAAATGTACTTTTATTTATATCGTCCATCCCATTAAGAGGCGGGTTATGCCACAATTCACAATTCCCCGTATGCTATTTTTTTTTTTTTACTGGAAAAAAAAGAAATACCCATTTTTCTTTCAGAGCACTAAGCAGCATCTCTCTAATCCACACAGATTATCACAATGGATGCTGTGACAATGGATTAAAAACAATCGAATGCTTCAGCACTTGTTGAATGGGCTCTTGTGAGGTTGCCCTTGTTTCTTATATTTTCCCGAATCTATCCTTTCACAGAAAGGGAGTGTTGATTCTAATTGAAAAAGCTTCTGTCCCTAAATGATGCATTTTGAATTAGGATAAAAACACGCATGCTTTGGTGAAATGTGATGGTTTTGAGTGAAAGCACACAAGGATCTTCCACTACGGGCGATATCTTAGTAAAGCCGACGGGCGGAGAGCATCATCTAGTGGTAACATGCGACTACGCTGAAGCTGTGCATTCTCACACCCCCGGCACATTTTAAATCAAGTGTTTAAAGGTCTGTGTTGTGCATGTACTCACACTCCTCTAAGCCCAGCTGGTAAGCCAGGTTCTGAAGTCCTTTCACCTTCTCCATCAGGTTGGCTGTGGTGAGACTGCCCAGCTCTGCAGAGGGACGACAGCACCCATGATAAAAGCTCTGCGGTGCAACACTTCAGCAAACTGTTGACCCACTCGACAGGATTATATGCTATTATACTATTACTATATTGAAAACTGTTACCTTTCAACATTTCAATGTCCTCACTCTCTAGTTCCGCCATCCATTTGGGGGGTGAATTATTGATGGGCTGCGATGCAAAACACAACAAGGATTTACGGACAAGGCCTATATATAAATTTATCACAGTGCGTCAAGCACATTTAATCATGTGTGTGTAAATCAAAGCACAACGGGGGAGACGCTAACTCACATTTTTACAAGACGCGGCGAATTCTGAGACTCCGGGCACTGCATGAGGGATTACAGGTGGATCAAGATCATTGCAACATGAAACACGCCTGCATGGTGAGACAGGAGCACGAGCAGGGTTCACTTACACCGCTCCGGCCACAGGTCCGGTGACGCCCGGTCCAACTTCTCAAAACTCAGCAAGGAGCTCTCGAAATCGTCCCCTGCGACGAGACGACGTTTTGTTTTAAAAGACATTTTCTGTGGAAAGTGCCTACATGACACATTTGTAAGACAGTAATGGCAGAGTGTCGCGATGGGATGAACATTTATTACCTTGAAAATTAATTAAAAGTGCCGTATGGACGTTTTTGCTGCATGTGTAACTTTAATGAACAAAAGGGAGGGATTAAGACAACATTAGTGTCTTAGGGAGGCCTACTTTGGTTGAACCAATGGAGCTGACCATATGCTAAATATTTAAACTTGGGTTCAATTATTTAATATTGGGTCCAGTAATGTCTTTGACCTCTGACCCGATACACACTTTAAAACAACAAACACAGCAGTGCCTTTAACTGTACGTTAACTACGGGATAAACAACTTCAGGGCGGGACAAACACAACCATAACAACAACAACAACAACAACTGAAGCATAAATAAAGCACTGCGTGTAGTGATGATTTACAGTAAAAACCCGGTAGAGTCGTAACGTTACGATCAGCAGTGACGTCACTAACGTCTAGTCTAAAGAACGAAAACGACGGGTTCAAACCCGGGAGACCGCCTCCCTCCACACCGAACACACGACTCCTGACGGCACAAATACGGCAAAAACGTGAGCCCCGTCGTGCCGGGACGTTCCCGCGAGACGGCCGTCGCAGTCGCTCCCGATTAAACGCGTCAAAATGACAGTTTACGGCGCAGGGTGAGGAATTGGAATTTACCTCCATTCGGAGACGCCATCTTTGGAATGAACACGTGACGTGCCCGACAGCCAATGAGAGGAGCCGCCCGCGGAGCAGACGCGAAGCGGGGAACCACTCGCACGCGCCGCCGTCATAGCGGAACAATGCTCATCGCCGTCGGTTGAGTGGGTTCGTTCCTCTGACGACACGAACGGGTTAATTCTGCTGCGCGTCAAGCATATCGTGATCGTTCTCTACTCAAAAAAAAGGTTTATCAATTGAATAACTTTGCTATCATTTACTATGTGAAATACATAATTCGAGATTCATAAATAATGCAGTTCAGTTTGTACACATTTTTAAATAATTTGTATGATTGAAATAAAAAAATAACAATGATGAAATACATTTACGAGTGATAAATAAACAATGAATTTATGAAAATAAATAAGAATATACTACAAGAATATCCCACTTTAATGATGCTCATGATACAGAGTAATCTTATGATGTAAAAACAGTACAATATAAAAAATATCGGGACAAAGACAAACACAACCTCAGATGAAAATACAGTCTCTGAAAGCCTACAACTACGTAACAAAGTGCTTTCTTTAAAACAGACATACACAGGGATGCACCCTTTCAGATTTCTTTCATCGCTTGGTTTAGCTTATATCACTGTGACACACAGCATGCACACATACCCACACACAAGTCTCCCATGTGTTGGAAGTTAAGGCAGCTCGGTGATGAAGTGTTCTGAACTTCACTCTCGACTACTCAACAACACTCTGGTTCCGTATTACATTAATTCAGGTCTGTTTCATGAAGCACTTTACACATTATAGTACCACACAGTCAGTACCGTTTATCTTCTCATGTAAACACTGTAAAACCGTCAGAATGGGAGTCACGTGGTTGATTAAAGCCCCTCAAATTCGTAAGAACACTGGCGTCTTCTTCGTGCAGAGCCGACTAGAACTCCCAGGAGTCCATCCACTTGAGGCCAGCCATGGCGCTGCCCGGCTCGTGTGCCAGAGGACCCGTCATGCCGTAGGAGAGAGGATGGAACAGGTAGAAACTAAGGCAGAAAATTCAATTACAACAGTGTACACAATCTAGAAGATGCACCCTTTAAATTGGAAAGTGAGTTAGGAGGTAGTCTAGAAGCAGGCCAGCTGATTCCCCCTGCTTTGCGTATCAAAGTAAATGTAAATATGATCACAACAACAACAAACTGCCTCCACAGTAGTTCCCCTGCTTGTCCTCTCACCTGTAGAGCACACTGAGCAGAAGCGCCACCTGCCCAAGTCTCTGCAGCCAATCGGAATAAGGTGGGCGGAGAAGCAGGTCGGTGCTTTTCAACAGAACGTCGAATGTGATTCCTGTGAACAAAAACAAAAAAAGGCAAGGCTTTAACGTTGTGACCAACGAAAAGTTGATTGCTTAGGGGGATCTAAAGAGGAAGTACAAGGTTACCATTGTGTCATCTAGCTATAGGCTAATACCCTTACCTACCTGCAGGAGCGTAATTAGCAGCTCCTGTCTGCATGTTCCCAACTAAAAACCTGATGCTTTCATTATTAACACAGAACCTAAATATCGCCACAGGCACTTTAATTGCCTTTTTGAATCATCTACCACGATGGAAGCAGCGAGGATGCAGTACCTGTTAGCATGCTGCTGAAGAGCATTGCAGGGAAGTAGTGGTGGTAGTAGAGGACACGGCCCATCGAGTAGAAAGGGGCGTAGTGCAGCAGCCAACCGAGGAGCAGCAGCCCTCCTTTTCCCTGAAGCACGGCAGCGTGCTCTGAGTGAGAGAAACGTGCATTTCATGTTTGAATCATCCATCTGCTGCTGCTGATGGGTCGGCACCACCTTCGACGTCCATACCTCTTCTCTTTTGGCCCAATGAGAAACCTCTCTGGAGGGCTACGGACGCCACTGCCACCATGATGGGATACAACCCCAAACCGGCCAGGTTCACCCACCAGACCACCTGGAAAGAACACGGCATATTTTAAGAGCAGAGAAGAGCGACGACGGGAAACACGAAGGAAGCTTCGGGCCGACTCACCGGGTTCCCCAGCAGGTAAACGCGGTACTCTGTGTCGTTCACGCCGGAAAACCTCAAACCCTTTCAAACAAATAAATAGAGAACACCTTAAGTAGTCAGACGTGCTCCTGCACTGCATTAGAATTTGACGGAAACCAACTTTCAGCGCACCTGATAGTTGATGGGCCAATGCCAGGGTTTGGAGTTCATCTCGTTGTCTTTGGGTTTCAGGCCACTGTTGCCCTGAAAAGACACAACTTAAGGTCGGTACAGGACCTCTGACAAGAAAAAACACGATCTTTAGGCACCGACGTCCTCGTTGCTTCTCACTCTTATCATTACGATGTGGGACTCCAGTAAGATCTCCAGGAAATGGGGCTTCAACACAGACAAACTGATGTTGGGCACTGGCGGAGCAGACGAGGGGAAAAGGGGACGTTGTCGGTTAGTGCGAGACGTCGTGAGGTGGAGACAGGACCCGAGCAGCACAAGGACGGCGTCTCCTTACATTTGGGGTTGATGTGATCTTCGATGTTCCACTGAGAGCTCGGAGTCTCCTTCAGGTAGGGACTACAGGTCACCTCCACCTGCTCCCAGCCCCTGAGCAGAAACAAACAGTGAATACACGGAACCAGGTACATTTGCACAATTTCTAGTCTTCTATTTTTCCACTGCACTTTCTGCTCCACTACTTCTACTCAGAGTAGATGGTTAATAGCTATTTAACAGCTTTTTTTTTTACATGCATTTCAATCAATTAAAAGATAATCAATTGGGAACCATTTTCAGGTTGATCCAAGAAACATTTCCTGGTTCAAGCTTCACAAACGGGAAGACAAGAGAGGAGGTTTTACCACTTTGGGAGAGTCTTTCCAGACGAGTAGAGCACACAGCCGGTAGCTCGGTGCAGAAAGCGGACTTTGCTACGCAGCACCTTCACCGGGTCTCCCTTCTGGCCTCCGCACACCTCCACCTGCCACAGGTCATTGGTGTCCCCTGTGCCGTTCTGAGAACAGGCCGAGATGTGTGCGTTCAAATGTGACACGCAATCAGAATGTTATGTTATTAATGCTGAATAAAAGGTGATTCACACAGAAATCAGGCTCTGCACAGAGCAGTAGATGTCTTTCAGTGCAGCTTTATGTTACGGGTGTACTCACAACGCCGTAGCCTGTGACCTGGAAGTGCTTCTTAGTCAGAGGGGCCGCGTGGAGATGACCGTGAAGGTTACGGGTTGTTCTGAAAGGACCAGGCAGGAGAATAGGGAACAATTGCCAAAACAAACACAGAATCTGGATCGGAATGAATTTGAGATGTGAGACCTCCTTTATATGGTTTTATGTGGTCTTCATTTCACCGATCTGTGGAGTCGGGACACTTACTCTTTGTGCTCCAGTCGAATGACGTCGCCGTGACGAACAAGATCAGGCGTCCCAGAACGAGCTAAATGGAGATATAAAAACAAGAGGCTTGTACATTCGTTCCTTATGACTTGAATGATGTCGCTTAGCAGTAACCTACTCACAGTCATTATCGTCCTTTCTTTGAACCAGCCACAGGTTGTTGTAGTCCTTATGAAGATATGCCGTCACCTGTAAGGAAATAGCAGAGAATCAAAAATATGCGTTCTTCAAAATGACTTTAATCATTTAGGAGAATGCTTCCCATTGAACGTGTGGGCCTCACCTGCTGCTGCCTGGCTCCCACCCCCTCTGGGTACAAGTGCCAATGAGAGTGTAAATAGCCTCCGGCGATACGGAGGTTTTTCACTGTGATGGTGGAGCCGTACGCCAGGTCTGCATCAGGAGAACAAGGTACGGCCGAAAATGATTACAAAACACAAGAAACATCAGTAAACAAAGTCTCTATCAGAAAAAAACGCCTTAGCACAAAAACTGTGATACGTAACTTTGTAAAAAGGCATTTCTATTTTCTTACAGGTGCTGTGGTAAACACACACACACACACACACACACAAACGTTTGGTTACTCACACTCCGGCATGGAGGCATTGTATAGATTGTTCCCAACCAGACGGGACTGAAAGGCTGAACTGAAGAAGCCGTCGCCCGGCCCACTGGTGAGAGAAAACGATCATGAGCATCCGAACAACGCAGGCGGTCTCCCTGCAGCTCAGGCTATACTTAGCGAGCGGACACACCTTTTGTTCAACACGGCAAAGTGGATGGCAAAGGTCGTAACATAGAGGAAGAGCGGCAGCAGGATGAGTCCGGCAACGCGAGCCAGGAAGTGCTTCGCGATGTCCACCTGGAGCCAGAAGACACGACGAGAAGAGCGCAGAACAGTAAAAATCCTCCGACGCCATCGGCCACCACTAGCGTGCTAAATATGCTGCCGTTTACCAGTGAGAGGCTCAGGTCCCCCAAAAGTTCCCAGAGGTCCCAGACAGTGTGCAGTCCCACCAGCAGGATGACAAACAGACCCACAAACTTCACCCCCAGGGCCCCGGCGAGGCTCGCGCCAGTCAGGAGCAGCCACAGCCACCAGTACCAAGAAAAAGGCCTGCAAACAGCAGAACACTGTGCTCGTAACGCTTAGCTTCATGGTGCAACGTGCTCCTTGGTCCATGTAGAGTTCTGACGGCAAAAGCTTTCTTAAAAAAACTTCTCTTCCTAAAAAAACAAAAGCTTATAGATAAAATGGGTCAAAAACAAGGTTTTCATCATTTTGTAAACTGCAAATGAGGATTAGTTGAATCCATGAACTCACAACGATTACCCAAAGACTGATTTCACCAAAGCATGGGATACGGAAAAGAAAAGAAAATGAAAGCCCCAGTGGGGTGCTACCTGTATCTCTGCTGGTCGAACTTGACCATGCTCAGCACGGCTGCCATGATGAAGAACAAGAGTATGGGGTCTAACAGGATGTACTGGGAAATGGTGATGCAGCCCGTGTCTGTCAGGAGGAGGACATCAAGCACGACGGAAGGATAAATTCACGCTGAGAAGACTTTTAGCTGCATGGAATTAGTTGGCATTTGAATAGATTGACTGAGAAGAAGAAACAATGTTGATTACTCACCAAATATGAGCAGGGTGGCAGTGATGAGAGCGGCAGTGTGCGACTGAGATAACTCCCGCACTATGAGGTAGGCAAAGATTGGCAGAAAGGAGCCCAACACGGCACAAAACTGTCGGGCAAGAGGCAGGAGAGGCACATCAGGGGCATTCGGGCCTCGTCCTTTCAAAACATTAAACTTGCATTGTTAATCAATAAAGAAAAGACGAAGCTTTCTTGTGTGGAAAACGGGCGTACTCCTCTCATCCCCCAGTAGTCGTGGTGTTCATATTTATCTCCCGGCTTCATGAAAGGAAAGGTGCCGTCGTAACCCGTCACGTAGCCGGCGAGACCGATCAGCATCTGCAACAAACGGAGAGCGGTTGTCTCACAGGGGAACCTCCGCCGAAGACACCGCACCGACGGCATCCGCCGTCCGCTCACCTTTCCCAGGGGAGGGTGGACGTCGAAGAAGAAGGTCCTGTTGATGTAGTAGCTTCCCATCTTTCCAAAGTGCGTCTCATCCCAGCTGTAACGCACCCCCCAAAAAAAAGAGTTACCGTCAGAAAAGGCACACAATGACGCACAGAAATCCACAGGGCTGCGGGACTCTTTCTCACCACACATGAGGGGGCTCCGTTATCTTGTAGAGGCGCGTGGAGAACGACAGCACCACCACCAACATCAGCAGACCTGAGGGACCCTTGCTGGCGTCTCCTCCAGCCGGAGGCCGAGCGGAGGCCCCGTCCACCGAGCGGGGGTCACCTTCCGGCAGGTGTGCAGCAGGTGGGCCGCTTCTGTCCTTCGGCGGGGCCCGGGGGACCTTTACCGACGTGGGGAACGTTTTCCTGTTGCGGAGTGTCGAAGTGGCCCCTGTTGTGCTCAGCTGTGTTATGCATTCTTTCTTTGCCATCAGGAAATGAACCCTGGGATAAAGTGACCGGAAGCCCTTCCACCACGTGACGTTAGGTGAGACACTACCGGGCGTTTGATCATATGTTACAAGAGTTGTTAATAGATGGCTTTGATGTGGCAAGAAGAACTGACTGCGGTGTCTGGGGCAAATAACCACATTTATCACAGCTAACGTTAGAATTAGAAAGCTTTAATGCGGGAGCATTGTGTAAAAACAGGCGATATTGACCGTAAACTACTCACATTTCAGTAAACAATTGATCGCCTATGACAGTATCTGTTACATTGCACCACGTTATTAAGACTTTTTTAACGATAACATACCACAGCCAGCTTGCTAACTCGTCAGTATTCGGTAAATTGCTAACGGTGTCGTTCGCCTGTAGCTAACTTAAGTTACCGTTTTGTCAATGAAAGGCTGCCATTAGCATCACAGTTACACGGGAGGTCTGGTCGCTCGAGTCAACGGCGCACGTATGAACCGCGGGGGTTTCTGGGAGATGTATTCTTTTGTTCTATTTTACGTCAAGATGTCTCTCGAAGGGTAAACGCCATTTCCCAGAATCCCTCCGGGGCCTTTCACTGATTAACCAATGAGAGCGAGTTATAATCTTGTTATCGTGTTGGGCTATTTGGACACTAGAGGGCGATGTAACTCAATACATAATTTCGACAGCGAAATTAACAAAGATCAAACCATAGAATTACGATTTGAGGTACCCTGATGTTCTGTATTTCTATTTTGTGTTCGACCTATATTTCTAAATATTGTATCCTTAACCGCCCTAGACTTGTGTGAATGAAAAGAGTATTTGAATCAGTTTCAATGACCAGCTACATTAAAATGCTTATACACACCAGTATACCAAAAAAAAAAATTTAACAATCCAATATAATACATTTGATAGCTAAAACTACATTTCTTTTGACAATTTAATTGTAACGGAGTATTTTTACCATGTGCATTACTTTGGTAAATTATCTAAATATGACTGAATATATCGCTGACAAATGCACATTTCTGGAGACTTACATCACACAATAATGTATGAGCTTGATTGTGCATTCCCACAACTAAACTGCTTGGTTTAAGAATATTGTGTATTGCCTTTATTATCATTAGTATTCACGGTATATTACACACTACAACTAACACACCCACCACTGTTTTAAAACAATAAACTTCCCATGCAGCAAATGAAGGAGTTGGTAAAAGGAAGGTATGTTTGGTGCTTCAATTTCAAGTCAATTTTCAAGGAGGTTAAAATGTTTTATGTTTTTATTTTGATGACTGATAGTGATTACAGTCAAGAGGTAAACACAATGAATGAGCATGATATTTCCAATGACCACAGCTTCACAACAACACATTTATCTCAGGTTATTTGCGATTTTGAAAGTCTTCAAATATTCCAACTTGCCGATTTGAAGTACAGCGGACATCAAGTGGAAACATTTGTACAACTGTAGGTTAATAGGTTAAGAATGCATGTTAAGGGTACTAGTCATGAACTTAAAGTCGTTTCCCAAAGTTGGAGTCAGACTTTTCTCCTTTTTTTTTTTTGCGTTGCTGACAGGTTCAGTCCATCAGACAGATAATGCCATTAAACCTGAATATAAAAGACAAAAAGTATATGTGAGGGTTCAGAAACCAAATGAGTAGCCCACTACTATCTATGATACATTCATGACGTTATGATCCAACAGAGACTAAAATAAATCATGTTTCACAATCACTAATATTAAGCCTTAAAGGTGTGACACACACAGCATTTGTCTTTGTAATGTCTGTAATCAGAACAGTGCTGCCACTTCCAAAAAATACATTTCATTGTCTGCTCCACAGGGCAGGGAATACACACAGTTCCTCTGGTACAGTGTCAGCCACTCTCCTCATACATAAAAAGATATGCTTTAAAAAAACAACATTTTTACAGACATGTAAAAATCTACAAAGCTATAATGCCAGATTTTTTTTTTTTTTACATTTTATGTCAAACAAAATATTGGTTTTGCTATAATGCATCGGGGGAATATGTAACAAAAATAATACATAGTACTAGATCTGTACAAAATAGACCAAACCTCTCCAACGAAGCCTGTGTCCTTACATGCATTCAGAGAGGCAAACATGGGAGCGGTTTGGTGAGAGATGGGACGCTTCTGCCGGAGCGACACCGGGACACGAAAGCTGTGACATTTAAGGCGCATTTGGACTGAATGAACCTTCCTGTGGTTTCACAGGTCAGGCTAGAATGCAGCCTGCAAGCAAACTTAGATAAGGCAAAACAGAAGCATAAAAAAGTAATACTGTTAGTATCAGCAACTGGATCCATGTATTCCTACTTAAATGGAAGTTTTAAGATTGTAAAAATGTTGCCCGTTATACTTCTTGCAACTATAAAAACATTCCATAGATCATCATGAACTCGGGTCCATGTTAAGGCTTTTTTAAAGGTTAAGTCTTCAGATTCTAAGCAAGGAAAGTTCTTTGAATATCTGAATTTTTGTCGAACCTGGAATCCATCTAGTCTGATCACATGACCGATGAGGACATCGGTGAGAGGTTTGACAGTGAGGCGCAAACTGATTTATGAGTGTCTGATTTCTTATGACATTCCTTCTCCTGTTCCCTCCCCACGCCGCCTCTGAGGTCAATTATTGAGACAAATAAAACCAGAGGAATCAAGCATTGCCCCCTGGAACAGATCGCGTTCTATGTCCGCAGAGGCTCGTCGTGCAAATGAAATAAATAACACAACAACAAAGTGACAGAGGAAATCATGTGGAAAATATATCTGCACATCAAGTTGCCCGGGGATACTGAATAAAAAAAAGTCGGTCCACAAAATCCCTTTAATGCAAATAGATATCGGTTGAATACTAAATCCCATGTAATACATTCACTGCACGGTTCCTGCTTCTCTTGAATGTGTACGAAGGGGTATTTGTTGTGTGCTTTTGTATACCTGTGCCAGTACGTGTGTGTGTGTGTGTGTGTGTGTGTTGCTTTTGGATGTGGGCAGGAAGAGCCAGCAGTTCCCCGTCTCACTTCCCGGACCGCGGGACGTCCGGGATGCACCGGTGAGGCTCCGCGGAGGCCACGAATCCCGGCAAGCAGGCGCACTTGTACGACCCCTCCGAGTTGGTGCAGCGGCCGTTCTGGCACAGCGGCACGTTGTCGCTGATGTCCTCGCACTCGTTTATGTCTGCCGGGAAAAAAGGAGACCAAGGTCGAAATCCAAAAATAAAAAATCAAGTTGAAGTACGTACATTTTAGCTCCTAAATTATTGTGCTGCATTTAAAAAAATCTGTAATCCATACTAAAGACTTTGGATGTTTTAATGGTTTCATGAAGCACTTTGCAACACAAATAAAATTGCTTTTGATGATCCTTAAAATGCAATGATGAATCTACTACTATTTTGATAATCCATCAATCACCAAAGAACATAATTACCACATTCATTAATGATCCAAAAAATCACCAGTTGCATCCCTAAATATTTCCATTACAACTGGCCAAATAGAGGAGAAAAGCTCCAGAGCGGCTTTTAATGAGCCGAGATTGTTGAAATCTTGTGAGTAATTAACCAAGAGCATTTTATCCGTTTCACAAAAGCTCCCATTTAGAATCGCGGGGTTTTCACTCAACGCCTGCGCGATATGTTGCACGATATTTCATCTTGTATATCTTTAATCAAACGTGACGTCACGTCGCGTGTCGACTGCATTGGCCCCGCCGCCGAACTGTTGAGAAACACGGCAAGATTAACAACGCATCGGATTATGTTCCCGTCCGGCCTCCGAGTGGGTCTGATTGTCGTTGCATGGCGCTCCATCTCCACCGACCCTCCTTCTGTTTATGTCGTGTTCTGCTGGGGAAAAGCTGGCGGCGATATTTATGAAAAGGAGAAACAGCAGCTCCCACATGTTTCCACCGGGTTGGAATAGAAAAACTAAAAAAAAACGCCTGGCCTTGTGGCTGATAAGCTTGTACGCAGACGCAATACTGTAATCATAAGCATTTCGTTACAGGAAAACAGGCTCACTTTCTTACCAATCAAACACTTAAAAGATATATTATCTCATGTGATACACTGAGATTCAAGGTCTCCTCACTCTTGGCAGAGAGCGGCGAGGGACTTTTCAGACGCTCGGCGGTTCGGAGAAGAACGCCGCTCTCATTAGTTCCCCCGTAAAACATAAGGGAACGCAAGGCCGCCGGACCGAGAGCCCGTCCTTGAGCGGGTTGACGGGGTGACCTCACTGAACCCCAGAGACTGAGATGAAACGACGCGTCGGAAGGCCCCACCTATGCACGCCATCTTGTTCAGGTCCAGCTCGTAGCCGTCGAAGCAGTCGCACGTGTAGCCTTCTCGCACGCGAACGCAGCGGCCGTTTTCGCAGCCGTTCAGGATTCCGCATTCCTCCGCCCGGAGACCCTCGAAGCCGCCGTAGCGCTCTGATTGGACGCAGAAAACACGGAGGCGGGGTGGGGGGGGGGGGGGGGGGGACCCCCCTTAAAACACCTCCCTTTGCCCGCTGGCAGGCAACCCGTTTAAAATGGGGGAAGGTTTTCCCCCCCGGGGGGGGAATTCACCGGGCGCGGGTGGCCCCTCCCCGGCCCCAAGGAGGGAAACCGGGACCGCGGCCGTTGGGGGCCCTAATCCTTAGAAAAAAGAAACCCCGCCCCGCAACTGTCCCCATACGGGGGAGAGAAAGGGTCCATCGCGCCCCTCCCAGCGGGCCTCCTAAGCCGGGCTCTCCCGCAAGGTGTGCGTCTCGCCCGGTCCGGGGCCCGGTGCCATCTGCGCGTACTACTCTTTAACGCAACCGGCCCACGGGCGGCCGCTGGCGGGAGGAGGGGTTAAAGCTTTCGGACGTTTATTACAGTGGCGTGTTTTGACGCTGAGACGCTGTCTCCTCACCAGAGTCCTTCGCGGGACAGAAGGCGCACTGCTCGCTCCAGGCGACGCCCCACAGGCAGCAGCATTCCGTGTACGTGCTGCGGCGTCCCTGCAGCGGCTGCGAGCAGATGTTGTCGCCCTCGAGGCGCTGCCAGCAAACGTCCATGTGCACGTCGTGGTCCGGCTCCAGAGTTTCTGGCCGACAGAAGGAGAACAAGGGTGAACATCATCCGGCGGCGGCGGCGGCGGTGGAAAGAACTCCCAGACTGTCACGAGACACTCGAGACGCTCGTGCTGGACAACAGACTTGGTTTCGCATTGATGAGGTAAATGACAACTGGTTAAAACCTTCACCTTCTGTGGCGTTGAGGCCGATGCAGCGGCGGCGTGTGCTGTCGAGGACCGACGGAGGACTGCAGAAACAGTTGAACGAGCCGGCCGTGTTAACGCACACTCCATCTTCACAAGCGTCCCCGAAGCCGCACTCGTCGTAATCTACGGACACATCGGGAGAAAATAGAAACATACAGTTGAGTTAAGCGGTTGAACTCCGGTACCCGGTGGAGACGGAACACCACGATGACCAAGCCCTTTCTTACCGACACACTCGAGCCTGACGTTGTCGTAGTAGAAACCGGAGCGACAGTAGCAGGTGTAAGTAGAGAAAAGATTTGAACACTGTCCATTCTTGCAGATGTCCGATCCAAACATCTCACACTCGTTTGCGTCTGAGGGGAGACACAGGTTCACACCGCACTTTAAAACAGTGGCACTCTGCCTTTAAACGCTCCTCATTCGCCGCGCGGCGCTCCGTGTAATGTGTCAGCCGTGCCATTAAGCCTCGACCGGCTGCACAGAACGTCTCGTAAACGTCTTAAAAGGTTTATGTTAGTAAAACGGACTGCTGACATCGCTGCAGCCGGTGCCAATGTCAATGCGTGCGTGGAGGGAAGCTGTCAAAGGTCACGGATATCAATAAATCAACAGCATTTATGCGAGAAAGTACCTATGTACGCCCGCTGGTCCCCCGGGTTTTGCGTGGCGGGAACGGGCCGGGGTAACAATCCACTGCCGTGAGGGCACAGCTGGTCGTAATCATCTGGATTCATTAGTGGGAGACAAGAGGAGTCAAACAATCGGAACTTGAGCGCTTCCTTCTTCCCGCGGCGTCCCAGCAGCCCCCCGCCGTACCTCGTCCCGGGAGCGGGCACGCGTGGATCTCGCAGTCGTCCCCCCAGCCGGCCCCCACCGTGCAGCAGCACTCCTGCTTGGTGGCGTTGCGAGACACGACGTTGTCGCAGAAGTTGGCGTCGTTCAAGTTGTAGTAGCACTCTTTTCTCTCCTCGCCCCGGGGGGCGGAATGAGGGAGCAGAGCGCCGGGCGTCGGCCCCACGTGAGCTGTGGGCGATCAGAGGTCAGAGGTCATGGTTTGCTGAGGCGGCGCTCGGGCGGCGCAGTACCCTCCCCCGGCCACCAGGTGGGCCTGCTGGCGTGTCCGCAGGCAGGGGCGCAGGCATTTCACCCGTAAGCTGCAGGCTTAGCCAAATGGAAACACTGGCATGTGAGTCCACACACCGGTCGCTCTCACATGATTGATTAACACACGTCGAAAGCAAACAGCGGAATGTGGCAAAAAGGTACACAGAGGCATAGCTGGGGTTTAGTGCCCGGGCAGAAGAAAAAACATCCCCGCCTGAGGGCGCGCCGCCTAATAATGTAAATACCCCCCCCCCCCCCAATTCGTGTACACATACGCCTGTCGAGATGGAGATGCGATAGTGTTCCATTACTCAAAAGCCCTTTACTGTCACTCTGGAATCCCGGTACGTTGCACATCTGTAACCTCTGCACTTGGGATCATTTTAGCGGGGGGGGGGAAGAAGGCGATAATCGCCAGCGGCTACACCTTATCCCTGTTTGTCTTGGTGAGGGAGTAGGTTTACAGTAACTACGCACTTAAGTTATTTACTTGGCTCTACTGGAGGAGTTACTTCATCGCTTCTTTTTTCCGGGGGGGGATTACTCCCATAGAATGGTTTTGAAGGCACCCACCCAGTCATAACCCCGGGGCCCATAAAACAAATGGAAACTGCCAGGTCAAGAGACGTGGAGTAAGTCATGTCCGCCTCGTCGCCCTTGTTTGGATAATGAGAGACGGCTCATTAAATCAGGGAAAACTCCGTCTCCCAATGATGGGATGGAGAATTAAGTCCCGTGGGTCACAGCGAGTGCGAGTCCTGCTCCATTACCCAGGGAGCGGCACTGGCTGGTGAGGGGATCAAATTCCTCATTGTCGTTGGGGCAGATGCACAGGAAGCTGCCGTCGAAGTTCTCACACGGGGCCTCCCCGCACAGCGCCGAGCTCATCTCGCACTCGTTCACGTCTGAGAGAGACAGGAGAGAGGGGGGGGGGAGGAAGGGGGGGGGGGGGGGGGGGTCAGCGAGGATCAGGCACGAGAGCGCACCGAAAGCATCTCCGTCACTTCGGAGGGAAACTCGACAGCGATTACTGGGCTTCAATTAGGCGTGAGGAGAGAGTTCTTGTACACATGCGTTGCTCTTGTGGGTCCGACGGTGTCGTCCACTTAAGTTAGCGTGACTCATTCGTTGTTGGTTTTAGAAACACACACACACACAGTATCCCCCAGGGGTGGGAATCTCTCACCTCACGATTCGATTCGATTCCGATTCAGAGGTCAACGATTCGATTCTAAACTGATAAAACGATTATCGATGCATCTCGATTTTCTAAATTTTTGAGTTTGCTACTCAGAGGTTGCGAATCACTTCCTACTTTATTTGATAATTAAAGAAAATCAAAAGATGAATCACCTTCTCAATTTTTTTATAAGAGAAAAAAAAATCTTTGTCACAAATATGATTTTCTATCAACAATAATTTTTCTTTTAAATTAAGAAAAAGCTGCTCTTAGTCTCAGACCGTTCCGTATTTGTAAAATACCGCAAAAAAAGTCCAAATCTGTGAATATCTTGCCAACTTTCAATACGGATCGACTTTTTTGAAAATGGAAATAATGAGGTAAGATGTGCGCAGGCTCCTCCATAGTTCGGTAAAGTTATTAGATATTCAGATTCAGACAGACGGACCGGTCTGCGAGCTGGACGCGTTGCTCTTAATGTGCCGGTAATGATGGTAATTGATGGTTGTAGCTGGTTGTCATCTACGGTCCACTACGGTTACCGAAGGGGGGCGTTTGTTTTTTGACGTAATTTCGACTTCTTATCCCCTTTCTTCAGTGCAGAAACGGGCTTCTATAGTTGTGTGAATGCATCACTCCAGCCAATCCACAGACGGGGTTTGTAACCAATCAGGTGTAGAGACCATGGTGACTGGCTCCGCCCCCTTACTGTCAAAAAGAAAAACAGCGAGCGCGTAGAAAACACCTTCGAGCGCGAGCGAGCAAATATCTCGGACGGACTTTTTTAAAAAAAATTTATTTCCGATTATTAACTTTTCTGAATCGAGACCGAATCGTTCTAGAGAGAATCGAGAGAAATCGAAAAATCGCCCACCCCTAGTGTCCCCACACTTATCTTTTCTGAAGTCATTATTTATTGAGGAGCAGTTACAGACCGACACACGTGCCCGTGTCTCCCGGCGGGTTGGCGTAGCCCTGATAGCACTGGCAGCGGAAGGAGCCGTCGGTGTTTTCGCAGAAGCCGTAGTTCCCACAGATGGTTTCGTTGGCGCACTCGTCGATATCTGCAGGGCGAGAGGTGAGCACAGCGCCGATGTTTAACAACGTCAATCTCGTGCCGCGGCAGACTCCTTAAACGCGCCGCCGCTGTTCCAACATAAACATCGCCACCGGCGTGACGTTACAGTAACAACATAAATCATAACACCGCCGTGCGCACATCAGACACTTCATCAGGTCAGAAAAAAACTCCCAATGTCAATCAATTCAGGGGGGGGGGTCACAGGGAACGTGAGTCAGAGGAGGAAGAAGTGACGCTGAGGATGTTGGCGGAGGGACGGGGGGAGTTTACAGCGAGCAGCCAGCGGTCAGCGTTCACACTTCCCGAGCAGCCGAGCGTCCGGACACACTTCGGCGTGTCGGGCGTTACGCGAAAGGCTGGTGAGCTTTTAATAGAAGCAGTCAGTGCTGCACGTCGGTGCGTGGGAGAGAGACACGGAGGTGGGGGGCCCGTTAACGCCGGCACCGCTGACGCCTCTCGCTGTTTAAACGCAACTATTGTAAGCAGTTTTCTCATTTCTTGGCGCCCTGAGTGCAGCAAAGAGGCCAGAGACTGATACGGCTGCAGGGCGAGTCTGATTGTAATTGTTTGGAGAACAATCACAGAGTATAATGATCACTTTTTGAGTTGCATTCATTTGTTCTGGGCTCAGTTTTGTTGGCTGCGATGCTAATAGACCGGTACTAAACAAGCAACGTTTGTGTTTTTCAGTTCGGCTGAGCTGTTCTTTGTGTTTACTCGCTCGGCGAAAAACCCGTTTATACGACATGTCTTATTTATCCGGTTCTATCTTAACAGCGTCTTTCGGCCACATAGCGAGAAATGTGTTCCACCGCCACCACAAGTTGTTCTTCAAAGTTAAGACGTACCGTTAAAAAAACTGATTCAGCGCCTGCCGATTGACAAATAATGAGTGAATGAACTGCACTGATGGAATCAGGGGACACACCACGGTGCCTGTTCTTCTGACTCTTTGGTTTCATCACAATTCCCCATGACCGTTTGATTCAAAGTTTCCATGACCGAGTGTCCCGCAGACAACAAAACCACAACAACCGAACAACCGAGTCCAGCGGCCCCGATTCCCGCGAGCCGCCTTTTGTGGAGTGCAAAGCGCAGTCATTCACATATTGTCTAAACTAGTTTCATTTAGCCTCTGAGCACTCATAAAGGATGTATCAACAGAAGAAAGCGCGCCAGAAAGACCACGAGACGTTTGATTTGAACAGTGTGCTTGGCCGGGGGCCCCCGTCCACCCCTCCAACGCCGGGGGGACGAGTTCTCCGTCAGCCTTCCTGACTTGGCCGCTTCTCCGACGTGCCTCCCGGGTCACAGACAGCGGCTCCCACAAGCTAATAAAACTGCAGAGAGAAAATTCCCTTTCTCATTTGTTAAAAAAAAACCTTTACCGGGGGAAAAGGCTGACGAGGAGGATTTGTGCATCTTTTGTTCCCACTAGTCGAGGACTGCTCGACTGGTGGGCACAAAAGATGCCCGCAAGATGATGGGACACATAATGAGAAACGCCAACCCAACGGATTGGCGTTTGGCAGCAGAGGATTGAGATGCCGAGCCGGCGAAGTGCGGTTTGGAATGTTGGAATGACAACGGGCGCCAGGTGGGAGGCCGGATGAGAAAGGTCGCCTGCTGATATATGAAATAATCAGTTTCCACCGGGAGATTTTCATTCACGTGTAACGTGGAACAAAATCTTTTGCAAACCACAGGAGATGCAATCAAGATCACCCTGCCGGGGAGGAATGAGAGCATCGCGTCGATGCAGTTGTTACCTGACCGGCCGTCTGTCCTTTTAAGGAGAAAGTCAGTGTGCTGTTCCCGGCACTAATGGTTTGTTGGAAAAAGTGAATGATACAAAATGCGATAGTCTCACACCATCAGGACCCAGGGTTTCCCTTTCTTACGTCTTTCCATGTAACAATCAGTCAGGACACACACGGTGCTGTAAATTGCCCTCAAAGGGAAAAACTGAGGCGGGCTGAAAGTGGGAGGAGTTCGGCTGAAGTGGGAGGAGCTGACGGTGTCCAATAGGCACCGATCCCAATGGTCCGATCCAGAAGGACCCGCTTCCTGGATCCGGTGATGCTGCGGGGGGGTGGAGGGGTAATGGTGTGGTCTGAGCACATGGTGGCAAGCAACAAGAACGTAGGAATCAGTGGCTGTTGGCTCACCCTCTGCGGCCCCCACTCCCGTATTTCCACGAGCAGCCCCCTGTCTGATTGCACCCATATGCAGAGGTTATTTCACAGGAGGAGGAGAGCAATTGGTTTGCTTGTACTCTTTATCTGAAATTAGATCTACAAACTCTGATGGGTCAAATACTGCGGAGGTTAAAATGTATTATCACTGCTGCACTGCTGCACAACAGCATGATCTCACACACACACATGGTAAAGTCTTTACATTTCTATACGTTTAAAGAGTTTGGGAGGTTAGCAAGAGTGTGACCACAGACAATTTCCGCCTTTGGGGAAGTCTTATTAAAGACAAGGCTTAGTTTGAGGGAGCTTTACGAGCATGATGGGGAATTAAAGCTAAAAAACACAATCACCCGCAACACATACTGCTTTTTTTTTTCTTCCCTGAGCCAAAACGAGCTCTGTGTACAGCGTAAGAACCCGTTTTCCCCTTTTGTGTTATGGTTTCTTAATCTAAACGAGCGCTGCACTGAGCCAAACACAACCGCTGCCCCTTTTTCGAAAGGCCGGTGAGTAAAAATAAAAAAACGGCCCTCACAGAAAACTGCAAATTACAGTTTCTGGCCTCTTCTTCAACATTTGATGATTTTTACAAGCAGACTAAAATGCCCGGGAGTAATTGAGCTCCCTCCCCGGACTTTTATTGGGGTGACGGCAGCATCTCTCCCATAATTTGCCATCGCGAGGCGAAACAAGCAACTATTGTGCGCGGTGCTCAATCCGGGGGCCGAAGTTTGTGTCACAACGCACACCAACCCACACAAAATAGTCAAACGGGGAGTTTTGTGGCACGAAAAAGGGACCAAGAAAGCAGTTTGAAGGCCCATGTGAGCTGCTTAGCCGTGTTTTGACTGCAGCAGTAAAGGAGCGGAGGTCAGCAGCTGCTTCCAATCTTCCCTTATCACACTTCAGCCGGTGCCAGACAGGCAACGCCGTAAAGTGCAGCGAGGAGGCGGCGATACCGTGGGCCGGGATGAGGGTGATGGAGAGGGAGAGGGAGGGGCGGAGGTCTGATCTGTCACCAATCGGCGTATTCGCTCCCGCCCCCCCGATCTCCGTCCAATAAAAACCCAGGGTCGTGAGAACATGTGAGGCGGCCGCAGCGATACGGACTCTGCTTCTCCTTCTGAGAGAACGGAGACCACAACGAACCACGTGCACACACACACACACAATCCCCCGAAAAAACACCCGCAAGGCCAAGCCATCGTTCCGTTCGGCCGCTGGGATTCTGTCTTAACAACACGCAGACTTTCGTTGTGGTCTCTGATGTTCGTCACAGACCAGACGTGTGGTTTAATGGCGCTACGAGAGCAACAAACACAAGCGAAACAAAGAACTCAAATGGTTTTGCAACAAGCCAGACTAATAGCCCGAGGTGTCTACTCATGCACGTACACGCTGGGGAGGGAAAGAGGCCAAGACTGTCCCAGTCAAAAGGGGAACGGCCGCGCTCAGGTTCCAACGAGCGTACCCTGCCAGAGACACTCCATTAGCGCCGGCGTCCGGAGGATGAGACCGCTATCAGCCGCTGGCCTCGCACGCCCGCCTTCAATCAGCGCGCTCCTCTTTCTGAAGTGCCCTCGTTCCAAAACCACTTCTCCCCCGTGGGCCTCCCTCGTGCACGACCTCGAGTCCCAGATACGTTTTTGATTCGCATCAGCCTCTTTGTTTCTGCGTGCCAAACAGATATCAGTACATGTGCACCGAGGGAGTGTCCTGCAGAGGATGTGGAGTGCCGAGTTGATTTGAGGGTCTTTAACTACAGCACAAATGGTGAAAAGTACAAAAAAATAGGGAGGTCCGATGCAATCAACCGTTCTCCGCTTCACTCTGAGGTCTCTTGGCCTCAAATGGGCCTGTTTTCTCCTCACGTAATTGGACGTGCTGCTGCTTTAACTGTCGTGTGACCGCTCACCGCAGTCTGTGGCGTCCTCTCCCTGGAGGCCGGCTTGGCAGCCCATGAAGCAGCGGTAGGAGCCGATGGTGTTTTCGCAGCGCCAGGTGCCGCACACCGAGCTACCAAAGTCCTTGCACTCATTCTGGTCTGCACATTAAAAAAAAAAGGAAAGGGACAGATGTTGGTTACTCGCTGACAAACAGAGGCACAAAGACAACCGCACATGCAATCAGACACTCACAAGGACGCACTCCACACACACACACACACACACTCATGTTCCCTGTTCCACTGTTCTTCTGCTTCCAGCGTAACGGCTGCGCAGCCAGGAGGCCTGCGGTGTCCTCGGTAAACGCAGCAGGCAACCAGAATGGCCAAGAACAATATTATCGCAGCAACCGAAGAACTTGTGAGGGAGCTGGAGGGAGACGTTCCGCGGGGAGAAACACCTCCCGCTCACAATAGGGGTCATTCATACTTCCCTCGGGGGGGGCGTTCAGGCACCCCTCACCCTTTGGACCGTGGAGGGAAGCCTCGGGTCCCCCCCCCGGAGCCGGGTCACCGCTACCTATGGATAATCAACGCCTAAACGCAGCAGGACATTTAAACCGCATATGGAGACAACGGAGAGTAGAGAACCTCGGAGCGGAGGAGGAAGGGGGGGGGGGGGGGGTCAACATTCACTGCGACACACAGAAGGGAGGCTCCTCCGGTCGTACCTTCGCAGTCGGCCGTGTCGTCGTTGAACTTGAAGCCGGCCTCGCACAAGCACATGAACGAGCCGTCGGTGTTCAGACACTCGCCCCTGATGCACACGTTGCCTCCGCTGCACTCGTCCACGTCTGAGGCGGGGGGGGGGGGGGAACGGGGGCACGGAAAAGAGAAAGGGAGGGTCTTCAGATTAGTCACGCATCGATTATCACCGAACCGCTGCTCCTCGTGAGAATCACAGGAAGAACGTGTAATCAGCACGAGGGGGGGAATTGGCCCTTTGGAGCACTTAACGGTAGACTGGAAAACAGGAAACACAGGAGGAAAAAGAAAGATCTACCTCAGCTCTCCGAGGCTGAGAACATTTCCCTCCGACTCGTAAAAAATAATGATGGATACGACCTGCTTGATAAGCTGTAGATTGGTGTATAATTGCGGAATTACAGCATCATTTGCGAGGCACTTAGACTTGCTGTTAAAGTTAAGGGGGGGAAAATACATCGCTCCTCCAACCTTTGAACAACAACAACCAATTAATACATAAATATGCTGTGAATGGAGAGCTTTAGATCACAATCGGGGACTTTAAAGCCTGCGTTGAAAGGCACAGCGAGGTCACAGCTTGAACTTCAAGTTACATGTGTTTCAGTCCTTTATCGCGATGCGTTCTGTACTTGCTGAAACGCGGTCCAGGCCGAGCATCATCTGAGCCCCACCTGACCTATAAGCATCTTTCATTGACTCACACACCCTCATCCAGAGGGGTCTGGCTTTTATTGTGTCAGCACCGTACAAAAATACGACAGCCGCTGATTTATAGGATAATTAGAGGCCAGTATTTGTTGTGGCGGGCGGCCAAAGTACCTGAAGCTGGCTGGACAGTTTGCTCAGAGTCTGCGTATGATGTCTCAGGCACTCCGAGGCCAAAACGTCCGTCCCTGCTCGAGGACTAAACCTGGTCCTCTACCATAAGACAAACTTTAGCCATTTAAAGAGCGTGGAGGGACCCGAGCCTACCTGCTTCACATCACGACAGGGTGTTTCACTGCCAGACGTCCTGTCGTTCGCCTCATAAACCGCAGCACACACCAGAAACAACACGGATCCAATTCGCACATCCTCGCCAAGTGATTTCATGTATTGTGAAAGAAAAATGCTACAATTTGTTGAAATTTTAAAAAAGCGTACTCGGCCCGAGGCTCAGGCCTAATTGTTCTCCCCCCGTCGCTCGTGACCGGTGGGCCGCCGGGTGCGGCTGGAAAAATATGGAACTGGTCTGCGAAAGGTGGAGCGAGCCGAGGCGGTTGACGAGGCTCGCTGGGCTCACCAGACAGGAAGGCTGGACTGTGCACCCTGGGCCAAGTGTCCCGGGCCCGACCTCGGCGCCCAGGGGCAGTGTGCTGACGACACGGTCAGTCCCTTCCACTGATTTCCCCCGTTTTTGCCTCACCCAACTACGCAGAGCGCTTAAAAAAAGCAATTTCTCACCGCTGTAACCGCTGTCAGGGCGGTGCGTCGCTGTACCTTGGCAGCCGGTGCCTCCATCCTTGGTGGCATATCCGTCAGGGCAGATGCACGTATAGGAGCCCTTTGTGTTCAGGCAGTCGGCTTCCCCGCAGATCCCCGTGGCGGTTAAACACTCGTTGATATCTGTCACAAGTATTCACAGCTGGGTCAAGACGCCAACCATGAGGTAAGCTTTAAACACTCAATGGTATATGTTATGAGTCAGGTGACGCAGAGTGTGTGTGTGTGTACCTCTGCAAGACGTCCCATCCACCATCTCCAGCCCAGCGGGGCAGAGGCAGTCATAGGAGCCGACGGTGTTGGCGCACCGGCCTCCCACACAGAGGCCGGGGTCTTCGCATTCATTCACATCTGCATTAAGACACACGCACACATATGTCGTCAGTATGACACATCACACCGGCTGTAAATCCCCGGCTCTCGCTTTGAACTCGCCCCCAAGTTCTGTCATTGGGATGACGAGCTTCCGGACCACAGTGAACATGTCAGTGACTTGCAACACGACATGTAAAAAAAAAAAAAAAAGCATTTCAGGGGGCCGCGGTGGGCCGTCGCCCCCGCCGGGTCGTACCTTCACACGAGAGCCCGTTGGGGGCCACGGTGAAGCCCGGGTCACAGGCCATGCAGGCGAAGGAGCCCGCCGTGTTGGTGCAAACGGCCATTGGGCACACATCCGGCCCGCGGCACTCGTCAATGTCTGCGACGCAGAAGAAGAAGAAGAAGAAGAAGAAGAAAAGGTTGGAACAAAACCTCCGCTTTTCACTGACCAGCTGTTGAAAATGCTAAAAATGATGTATGTGTGTGTGTGTGTGCGAGACGAAGAACCAACATGCAGTAAACAAAGCCCTCTTTGTTAGATCGCACCGACGGTCGTTTATTAAAAAGGGTGGAAAGATAAGTATGCAGGATGGTCATTGACTCCAGAACAGCAAGCGTTTACAGGTGGCACATAAGTACCGCGTCTACAAACAGTCCGCGGCTCGCTGTTATATGATCACTGCAGATTCCTAGAGCCGTTACAGATTGGATTCCCTGCAGAGAAGATAGTGTGGGCCATTGTTGAGCGTGCCTGGAGGTGAACATGGCGGGTTCACCGGGGTGAGCTTTCTGCAGTGCACGGAAAGCAGGGGAGTGGTTGACTTAATTTCAAATTAAGCCCTTAATATTTTCCATGGCATCGGAGACGTTCATTAAAATCCTATCAGAGGCCGACTTGGCTTGTTTTGTGAAAAATGTTCCCAGCGTAAAGACACAGATCAGCAGGGAATCTTCCTCTCGGTCAACATCAACGCTTCCATTCAAAAACACACCGCGGTATATATGACCAACTGAGTCAACGTTTGAATCCATTTAAACACGCATCCCTTTCCTGCTTCTCATGAAGTCATGACAGATTCAGCCTCCAGCAGCCAATTCACCGCATTGATCTCATAAATCACGTCAGGGCAAATTACTCCGCACGGTTAAGATGTAATGTAATTGTCTTCTGGGTCTAATGTATTTCTGTCTTACTCCAGTCTTTGGTGCCTATGATGCAATGTTGACAAAGTGACAGCGCAGAGTGTTCTGAGCAGGTAGGTAAACGCAGGTGTAGTTTTACCCTCACAGCCGTAACCATCCTCAGACAGTCGCAGACCGGCTCCACAGCTCCTGCAGGTGAAGGATCCTGGGGTGTTGGTGCACAGCTGGTCGGGACACGTGTTAGCCACCGAGCACTCATCCACATCTGGACCCAAAGACACGGACACGTCACAGCACACATTAGCATCTCTGGCCTCAAATGAGTAAATGCCCGCCGGTGGTAATCAGTTGGACGGGTAATCACTGGAACGAGGAATTACGAATGTCCACACGGGCGGCGAATATTCGCCTGACATCATCTTGTTCTGTTTGAGGGGCCGTGTTGAGCAAGGATCAGGCGAGCGGTGCCAGAGGCCGAGGGGTACAAGTCCAGCTATGATGTGATGTCTGGGAGGAGGATTTGGGGATTTTGGCGTCGGATGATAGTTATTTGTGGGTCCACCTGATGCCGTTTAAACACAACCAGCTGGCAACCGCGTTGAATGGAGCTGGCGCACGCATTCTTTTATTAGGTCATAAAGTCAAAGGGTGGAATGGTAGAAAAGAGGAGGAGGAACAGCCGGAAGCCTCACCGTCACAGCGCTGTCCGTCCTCCGAGACCCGGAAACCGGGCGGGCAGACGATACATGTGAAGGAACCCTCAGTGTTGGTACATGTTCCCTGGGGGCACGTAGTGGGCAGCGCACACTCATTGATATCTGCCGTTTCAAAAACACAACACAGACTGTTAAGACGCTGCCGGACAGCCCAAAAAAAAAAGACCCCATTTCCTGACGGGAAGGCGATGACCAACAGTTCTTTCAGGCTGAATGACATGCAGTAAAAAGTGATGTTGAACAAACCCACCTTGACAAAGCTCCCCGTCAGACGTCACGCTGTAACCCGTGGGGCAGTTCTCACAGGTGTAAGAGCCTTCTGAGTTTAGACAGATCCCGTTGGCACAGGTAGAAACGGACTGGCACTCGTCCACGTCTGCGTGAGACACACGCACGGCAGCACAGACGTGCACGGACACTGATTACTTCTCAGACCGAACGGTGTGCGGAGGGAGTTCGTTGGCAGTGAGTGGTTTTAACGTTGGGGTGACAAACTATCCAGATGTGTTAAGTGATCCTTCAACAGTTGTGAAAGCACTAATGGTTTCTACTGAGTGATGGAGCACAGCTGGAGGTCGAGTTTACCTTGACACCTCTGCCGGTCTTGAGAGACGGTGTAGCCGGCCTTACATCTGGTACAGGTGTAGGATCCCTCCGTGTTGGCACACACGCCACCGAGACACAGATCCCCCAGGGCGCACTCGTCCGTATCTAGGAAGCACACACAATAAATTCACCACGAGTCGTGCAGACCGATCTACACCATCTACCAATTAATTATCGAAACAGTACCTTCACATCTCAGTCCATCAGCTGATGGACCGAACCCAGGCCTGCAGCTCTGGCAAGTATACGAACCGGCTGTGTTGATGCAAATTCCCGCACGGCACACATTACCAGTTGCGCACTCGTTGACATCTAACAAAAAAAACAAAACAATTTGCAGACGTTATGCCGAGCGTTAAAAGAGCTCCACAAGCTGAGAAGTATGATGGGATGGGAGTTACGCCCAAAAGCTTAAAAGTTAATTCTTTGCAGAACCTTCACAGGCTTTGCTGTCTGAGGTGAGTTGGTAGCCATGGTTACAGGTGCATTTGTGCGTGCCGTCCAGATTGAGGCAGCGGCCGTGGAGACAAACCCCGGGGAGCCCGCACTCATCCACATCTGGAGGGAAGACAGAGAGGAAAAAAAAAACTGCTTACTCTTTGCAGTCTTTTTTTTTTTTTTTTTTTTAAACCCTTCAACGGAGCCGTGAGGCTTCTGCAGTAGCACCGCGGAGTGGCATCAAGTGTGCCGCTGGACGCCCGGTCGACCATTTACCTTGGCAAACGTTGTCCGGTGCCAGTTCGTATCCTGGGAAACAGTTGCACCGGAAGGAGCCGTCCGTGTTGACGCACCTGCCCCGACCGCACGCCGTCTGGTTCAAGCACTCGTTCACATCTGAGGACAGATGTCGGGACATGACACAACGTGTGATACGTGTGCAATTTGGTGCAATTTCAACGGGAAACAGCAAAAACAAATGCGTTTGAGCTAAATGCTGAATAAATCAAATATATGATTGCACAACAGGAACCATTACATTACATCAGTGCCTCATTCATGAGAGCCTTCTACTATGAGTCAGTTGACCCAGGAATTATATTTGTGGGAAAACCTCATGCTGTAATAATATTTTATAGCGGAAGTGTTAACAATGGCAATTTTTCAGCTGAGGGGAAGATGTGGAGGGAGAAAGCCTGGTCATGTGAGTGTAAGAGAGGAAGAAAAAGGAGGGAAAGGAAGGAAAAGTGTTTGTCTACAAAGAAAGCGTAGAGAGGACATGATGGAGGTGCTGATTCAGAGCGCTCGCACGGCGTGAAACCCGGAGTCACAGACGGGGTTTTGTTTGCCCAGACGTCTGTCCGTTTAACCCCATGCTTTGTTTCTGCAATCTTCCCACATCTCTCAGGCCTCCGCGATAAGCCCTGACAGGGCCATGGAGCTGTTTTTTTCTATCAAACCAGCAATTAGGCTTATCCAGGATTTGGCCAATTGGGCCCAAACCGCTGTGCTGCTGACAACCGACGGAGGCGAACACTGGAAAACGTGCGCCGATGTTTTAACGTGACTCTCGCAGTGCCGGACTGCAGACTCTGGGTAAAGATATTTAGCACCAATGTTACCCGATTTACGGCGTTCCTCTCAGTTGCTGGTTAAACAACACAGCTTTATTTACAAAAAATGAATAAAATGAGTGGACCCACAAACCGAGAGCAGCTGAAAGCAGAGTTTCTTTTGCAGGCCAAGATGTTCAGAGGCAACAAGCAAGGACAAAAATGACAAGTACATTTCCATATTTTCTGTCTTTTCTTGCTTTGAGCTTTTTCACATTTCTGCTCCTCTCACGCCAGGAGATCAGGTTTCCAAACCAATTAGAGAATTAGAAGGGGAGGTAGGGGTGGGGGGGGGCAAGGCCACAGAGAGGGGACGCGTTAAGTCAAACCAGTCAGGCTCTTATGTAAGCTCAGATGTTAACAGAACAAACGCAGAATGTGTTTTGTTGGCCATTTGCGCATTCAAATCTAATCCTGGAGAGTTTAACAGCGGCCCGCGGACGCCACTATGGGCGAGCGAGGTCATTTATTTGCGGGTCGGGACCTCTTCGACACAGGGGAGGCGATCCTTTGACCTTCTCGTGCGTCTCCTGTGGGTGCTCGGTCCTCATGAAGTCTCCGTTGGGCCCAAAAGCACAGTGGCCGGAGCTCTCCAACAATAACACGCTGTTTGTTCAAGGCTGCGCCCTGGAGAAAATATTTGGACTCTCCCAAATTGAGGTATTTTAAACAATCTTTTTACGGCGGCCGGTGACATCAAACGATCGGCAGTAAAACGGTGAGCGTGTTGAAACAATATTGAGAGACATGCAGAGGCAGCCAGGTGGAGGAAACAGCGAATGGAGAGAGCGGGTGTAGGCTGCCGCTCGGCACCACGTCTTTATCATTTTCGTGTCACGTCAGCGGTCAGTGTGCCCCCCCCTCCTTTGAGCAAAAAGCAGCGATTCAGTGAAACTACGTCAGCTTTGGGTGGTGGTGGTGGTGGTGGTCTTACCCACACATCTTCCCCACACGGGCCTGAAGCCCGGGCCGCAGGCTTCGCACTGGAAGGAGCCGGGAGTGTTGATGCAGAGGCCGTTGGGACAGGAGCCGGGATCTCTGCACTCATCTACATCTGCTCGGGGGGATTGAGGGGCGGGACAACAATTTGAATTAGTTGTTGCTCAAACAGTGCTCACATGCATGGCAGAAAAGGGCGCGTGAGGTCACGGATGACACTGTGTACAAACAGACGAATCCCTCCGTCACGGACTGAGCACAGTTTTCTTCCTGGCTCGGACTCGAGGAAAATACATTTTTGTTTTGATCCCCGGTAATTTGCTACCGAGCCCCACAACAACACGGCCCGTGCAGGATTGTGCAGTTGAAGTAACCCGATGTGTGCGTGGGCGCTTGTGCGTGCGTGTCACCTTCGCATTGGCCTCTCCCAGACTTGGCGTAGCCGCCGTCGCATTCACAGGTGTAAGATCCTTCTGTGTTGACGCATTCGCCATTCTGGCACTTGTTGGGCATGCTGCACTCATTAATGTCTGCCAGTTTGAATGAAAACCAAGGAGAACGGAAAAGAAAGTGACTATTGTGCTCCGAGGCATTAATTAGGGCAGGATGCATTTTCAGTGAACAGCGCTGACAGACAAGAACTCGCGGTTCTGGAAGCCCGTGGTGGCTTTCATCCATTGGAAACGAGTCTCACCTTGACAGAACTTGCTGTTCTGGGTGATCACCTGGCTGTAGCCGCTGTGGCATTGACAGGTATAGGAGCCATAGCTGTTCACGCAGCGGCCCTTCCCTTCGCACGGGTCGCCGTCACATTCATCCACGTCTGCGTTGGGAGACGGGGAAAGATAATTGAAGGCAAAAAGCAGAGAAGCGGGGAATCGTACCCAACGATACAGTCAGTTCCCATCTCCCTCTACCTCCCCCTGTCTGTTGCTTACCGATGCAGTTGGTCTGCAGCGCGCCGAGCTTGAACCCCGGCTCGCAGCGGCAGGTGTAGCCGGTCTGCACAGGAATACATTTACCAGGGCCACATACGGCGGGGGCGGTGGCACACCGGTCGATACCTGCAAGGAGCCACAGAGATGTGCACGGTCATTACTCAGACAGACAGACAAGTATATTTTGGACTTACGGTGACGTAACTTTACTGGCACTGTAAAAAAAAAAGAGAAGAGAATGCATTCCACCAGCACATGTTGTTGTCCATGGGAGCCCATCTTGCTGTTTTATAGGTGAGGTCTTGGACGGGAGTTTTACAGCGTCGTAGTGTTCTAACAGGTGGGTACGGAGCTCTTACGAAGGCTTCAGCGAGAAGCAGGTCATGCACGACGGAGCCTGACGTTTTGTGAGTTTTTTCTGTCCTTCACCGTCCGAATGGACTGTGGTACAACTGACAGTGAACTGGACCTCATCCCAAGGACGACTGTAAATTCTAACCCCTCCTCTCACTCTCTCCTTCACCCCAATACACGCGATGACCTCGCCGTCCGCCCCCCCGCCCCCCCTTCCATTTCTCATAAATCTGTGTCAGCTCAGCGGGGCCCTTGTTCTCTCGCCCTCTCTCACTCCAGATTGGCCAAATTGGCTCTGAGAAAAGGGGGTCAAATAAAAGCATTATACAAGCTCTCCTCGCTTTAGCTCTGGGTAAGCCCGAAAAAATGCCTTACGCGCTGTGCTGCTGTCTGCCAGCAGCTCGGCTCTGCGGTTCCATCGTTGTTCTACCCGCTCGTCAGGCGCCAAGAGTGTGTCAAAGGAAGAGCGATACATTCAAAACGTGTGTGTATTCAGGGGAAGTTACCTGCGTCTGGGTGTGTGCGGGTCGTGTCCTCTGAATCCGAGTCTGGAGAAGCCTCTGTGAGGAGATGGAGAACAGGTAAGCGCAAACTGACACTGAGACACAAAAGTTAATTCTAATTGTCTGCAAGCTACAGGAGACACGGGCTCCGCTGTCACTGAAACAATGATCATCGCTTTCCTCCGGCGCTGAAAACAGCACGAGGACCAGAATGAATCGAGTAGACTCAATTGCACGCAGTCAACCTTCAGACTTTAACGCCAATGTCTTCGCTGGCGGGAGGGCAGCCCAGAATGAAGACTGCCACCAGCGTGAGCAATTTATAGAAAACGCTTTACATGTCCATGCCAGACCGAACGAAATTGGCTTTTGAGCTCTTTTGATTCCCAGCAGCCGTTGACAGAGAACGGGCCGTGTTTTATGATCTGTGCGATTAAAGCCAAGAGACAAATACCTGGATAACTCGGTGGTGAGTCAGTCACAGCGGCTGGCTAGGAAGCAAGCAGATATTATTATTGCACGTCAAGGATTTTGGTTCCATTTCATCAACATTTTGTTTTCATGCAGCATGTCAGATTTTGTGAGCATATCACGCGTTAACTAGGTGAGTATCGACCAAAATGTGGTCTGAATAAGTTATATAATCATAACAAAGCGCTCGGCTGAGATAGCTAGAGCGCACATCGTTCTGAGATAAACATTTCAAAAATATGCGCCAAGAGGTTGACAGGGAGGGAGAACTCACCGGGATCGGAATTTCTGCATCTGTGACGAGACGGGGATGAAGAGGAAAAGTCATTTATTTTATCTTATAGTTATCTGTGGCAAAAAGTTGACATTCTGTTCGTTATTAACCAACAGAACGGTCCGTGTTCTCTTTACACTTTCAGCTTTGGAGGTCTTTATTTCACATTACGTCACAAAAGAAGCGCAGACTGCCGCTAATGGAAAAACACGATGGGAGACGAGGAAAAACGATATCTCTGATAATGAAGACGAAAATCCCTAAATATTTACAGAATTGTCTCCTCATACAAGTCCAAATGTCCTAGCTTTGCCAATAAAGTAGTTCACGAGCATTAAATCTGAGAGATACATTTACAGGAAATCCTGAGTATTTAGATTTATGGCCATTGAGGATTACTTGTGCATTGCCGTGATGCTGAAACAAGCTTCACTTTGATGGATCGGGGACTTAAGAGCTACTCCAAATGTATTCAATATTGGATCAAGCATGTATTTATATATGGAGATGATGTTTGAATAGGCTGATCCATTCTAATCCCGTAGAAAGTCTCTCGCTGTCTTTCCCCCCAGCCTTCCTGCACGGCACACGCCATGTTTTTGAGGTAAACGTGTTTACGATTCTTTGGATTACTCCAAGGCCTTAGTGCATAATATAATTTACCGACCTCAAAGTCGGCCTCTAATGGAACATTTAATCCTCACCTTCCGGCTGCCGCGGTGTCTCACTGGACGGCTGGGCGGGACGGAGGGGCTGCTGAGGAGTCGGAGGCTCCCGGGGTGCTTGCGGTGTCTCGGGGCGGCCGCTGTGATGTGGCCTGCTGGGCCGGGGCAGCCACGGCTGGGAGGGTGGAGGCTGAGGGAAAGTGGGGCTCTGCTCCTCCCGGGACTCTCCCGTGCTCTGCAGATCCTCTTCCTCCAGCTGCCTCACGGAAATCTGCACGTCGGAGCGCGAGTAAGTGTACCCATGACCAGCGGGGCAGATCTCCTTGAAATGCTCTGCAGGGTAGGAACGTAAATTGTGGTTCATAGTCTGATATCCAGAGAAAGACCATTACCCATCCGTGTGTTTTTTGTTTTGTTTTGCTATGTTGAGCATGCGGTGGCGTGAGCGAGGGGCTCGAGGTCTTCGGTCCCGCCGCTGAACTATCTGTCGGAGCCGAACAAACCTCAGCGATGGTGAATCCATTAAAAGAGAGAAGCACCGTGTCCTCTGCCTGACCTGAAAGCAGCTACTCTAAGAGGCAGGGACGGAGACGTGGTCGCTGCGAAGGCAGGAAACGTCGATACGACTGATTTAAAGTGGAGGTAAACGGGTCTACATGTGACCAGCAGCCCCATCAGAGGAACTGCGCTAAATATGGAAGGACAGTCAGCCGACTCCTGTTACCAAGTCGCACGTAACGGGTCTGGCCGCCTGCTTCAGAACTTGCCTCCAACGGCTTGTGTGTGCTGTGTCGGTCCAGGCTGAGCAGCACCACGGAGGTCTGTGTACGTGATATCTGATCCATGAGAAGCCCCCCCATGAATCACTGGCCAGTACAGACACGCCATAAAACCGCTCTGCTTCTCCTGTAGAGACTTTGAAGATCGGTATGGACACAACTGAGCAGTTTATTTCTGCTGTGAAGCTTGTGTTTCCCTCCAAAGGTTGGAGTGATGACACGGACTCACAATATTATGCAGCTTCCAAAATGTGAAAATCTGTTTTGCTTTTGGTCCCTTTCGACTCAAAGCACATTTAGTTATTTTGAACTATTGCTGGCATCGCGAGCCCTCTCGCATAAGAGATAAGGTTTTCCCCGCGAGAACAGCAAAAAGCTGAACATCGCCGATTCAGCATGCGGACGGACGAGCGGCGGTCGCTTTTGGAGGCTCTACCTGATCCGTGCAGGGGACAGCGATCGCACCCGGGGCCCCAGGCTTTGCCCACGCGGCTGCAGCAGCAGATCTGCTTGGTCAAGCGCTGAGCGAGCGGCAGGGAGCACGCGCCCGCCGACGCCGATCGGTAGCAGAGCGCCGTCTGGTCGGACACGGCTTTGTCCGCTGGGGAGAGAAGCGTCGGGTCCTCCTTACTCACCGATGCAACCAGCGGGAGAACGGCCGCAGCCTCGGTGCGATACTTACAGACGCAGTGGCTCCGGTCGGCGTCCAACAGGAAGCCTGGTTTGCACGTGCACCTGTAGCTTCCTTTGGTGTTGAGGCATTCGGCGTTCTTACAGAGCCCCGGCAGCAGGCACTCGTTGATGTCTGCGGAGGATGGAGCACGTCGGTCGTGAGTTCCCAGTGCAGAGATGACGCCAGGCTTTTACAGATAAGGCCGAGCATTGATCGCAATAAAACATGTGTTCAAAAACCGCCAGTGACACGTGGCAACTTCCAGGTTTTGCGACTGTGTGGAAGAAAGGACGAGCGATGATACGAGGGAAACCTTACATACATTCGACCGCTGTAACAGCGGAATAAACCCGTGAACCCTCCTGGGAAGATGTCGCAAACGCTCGGGGCCGGAACCGTGACTTCCAAACCGAGGAGAAGAAAGTTCAACACGATCATCTTCCTCGGCATCTTTCCCTTTGTCAAAGGCCACAGCATCCCTCGTGTACAACATGTTCTCAACTCTCCGACTCCTGAGCCGTGTGCTGCGGCGACACAGCGGCCATTGTTTTCTTGTTGCTCCAACAGCGCCGGAGTCACTAAGCCAAATGGAGGCAAGCGAGCTAGTTACTGTGCCAGGAGCATAGGGGGACATATTTCAGGTGCTTAGTCATGCGATTGCTAGCACACTGGGACCAGGCAGAGTTTGTTGTTCTACCGCGTTAAACAAAGAGCACATCATTAGGTCTTTTCCCCTTTGCTTTGACGACTGGAACCCGACAGCCTGCCACCACAGATTTTCCCAATTCAAGTTAATCTGCTCTTGTTTTGCTGGAAAAAGTGAGTTTAAAGGGGATTGAAGTTACGTCGACCGTGGCAAATCCAGAGAATTCCTCCATGTTATTTTTATTTTTTTTCTGGATTTGCGCTTTTTGTATCTCTCCTCAGAGGACGTGGTCCTGAAGCTGGACTTTCAATGCCGAAGCCTCCACCTTCTCTGTCGTTCCTGTTTGGAATGCCGAGGACGAGGAGGACAACGGACAGATGTGGTGACGTGCACACTGTACGGGGGCCCGGGAACAACAGCAGGTACGCCGGGAGTCTAGTTTGAGCAGCATGCTATCTGGTCAGAGTTGAGGTCAGCGTTGGGCTCAGCCCTGATCACATGGGGTCTTTAATCCGCGGTTCGGTTGAGTACCAGATTAGTGCTGTTGTCACAGTCTGCTGGTGCGTTGATTGGGATTGAATCTGACTTCCGTGACAACCCGTCATGATCAGCACTAATCTCAACATCTATTTTCAATCCAGGCCCGGCTGTTTTTTCATTGTCTGATGATACATTTGGATGACTTCAACACCTCGGAGAAGTTTCCAAACTCCAGTCCGCTGCGACCTTAGTTGACCGTAGCCACTCAGAACCTCTGGATAAAACCCATACTCACATAAACCCCTGCAGACACTGTAAAGACAATTAGCATTAGCCTTTTTCGCTGTGCAGTGGCTTACGGCTAAAGGGAGTAGAGACTACTTTGGAAGTCCCAAACCACACATGACTAATTGGGCCAAAAGGCATCTGTTCAGAAACTGTGAATAGAGGGAATGCACATTCTCAAGATACAAACACTACATTCGCAGGCAAATTCCTGCTGCATAACCAAATACAATGAGGCCTCAACCTGTTGCAGCTTTTAATGAGATAAATGTGAAAATGTTAGCGTTTTAAGATTTTTAGTAACTCTAATTAAAGTTAATCCGAATTGTCTGGAGAATTACGTAAGAATTCCATCATCCCGTCTTTGAAGTGACCCATGAGTAATATGAGCTGCTCCGAGCGGCGGTTTACCACACACAACAGAGACTACGCATCCGCGTATGCCATTCATCTAACAAGCACGGTAACAGAGGGCCAATTCAGCCGACCCAGTTTCCGAGAAGCAGCTTCTGAAGATAAGGAATCGGCTGAAGTCCAGAGAGCATCGCTCCGCTCCGATGGGGCATCTTATCGTAGCGCGGGCGCCACTGAAGGGTCAAGGGAACGCAAGTCCTGCCAATTACCGAAAGATGAGTCAAGCTGCGCTCTATTCCAACGGAACACAGCCCAGACTAGGCGCCCCGGTCCGGCAAGCTGGACGGCATCCCGATAACAACGAAAAAAAAAATCCCAGAGAAGGAAGGTTTTTGCTCCTTTGGCAGCAAAACCTGAAAGTGGAAATAATTCAAGGGAATGGAGCAGCAGCTGAAGACTAAAATGCTGCAGTAAATATTGCTGGAATCTCAAGAAATGAACAACTGACAGGTAGGAACATCTTGAAACATTCACACAAGACAAGCATGAATAATAAAAAGATACATTTCCACACGGGTTGTCGTATTGACACATTATTGGAAAGCAAGTGTGTGTTTTTTCCACAAGTTCCCATCTCAGTCATAACCTGAAAACATCAATGAGCCAACAGACAACATGAGGAAGAACTTGTCGCATTGTCCTTTGGGTCACGACCCCATTTATCGAGTCCTCGACGCGGCTCAGCTGCAGCGTCACAAAAGCTGCATTCTGCTTTGGAAAGTGTCGGCGTCAGTTGCAGTGTTTAGATATTAAGCCGTTTCTCCGGTGCCTTTCAGCCGCAGTTTATTTGTTCATGTCAACCAAATCCGCTGCTGCATACTGACACCAGCAACGGTCGTTAATAGTCATTTCCACACAGCGACGGCTGAGCTACAAGGTTTCTCCTGCTGCCATGAATAAGGAGGCTGAGCCTCAAACTTCAACCCCGGAGCCTAAATCCAAATACTCAGAGAGCGACGGTCAGCCGAATCGCAGCCTGCTTCACTATTCTCACGTGAGGACTCTACAGGCCAATTAAAACAGCAGCCGCAGGTGCTAATCGGCTGCTGAACTCTGACCCCACACACCAAGGTCAAGGCCAACCGAATTGTAGTCCTGACCTGGTTCCGAAAGGGGCCACATGTATAGTAGCCATGTATGCAGGGAAACATATGGGCAGTCATTATTTGGCAGCCTTGCCATTATATTTAAATACGCTACTTTTTTATTATGGGTACGCTACCTAGCTAAATCAGTATTATTGGGTTAGATGTCCAGAACATTTTGAACTTCATACACATTCATCATCTTAACGTATTCTTATTCTTACCTTGACAGTGCGTGAGATTCATCCGCTTGAAGCCTTGGGGACATTCCACCCGTCCGTTTGCGATCACTGCATACGCTGCGAACGGAGAGAGAAAGCACAGCTTCAGAAAAGCAACAAGAGCCCTTCTGTCACAAAGCATCGGCTCCATCGCGCAGGGAGCAGAGGAGCCCGGCTTTAGGAAGGGACCGTATAACTTACAGATGTGAGCAGGGGAAAAAAAAAAGCGAGAGGACCCACAGCCGGGCCCTGGGGAACTCCAGAGTGAGTGTATGGAAACGGATACCCATCAACCACGTTTATAAGACAGCGCTGCCATCCAGCAGGATGTAAGGATAACACTCTACGTCATTCATAATAATATTACTTAGAACTCTCCTCCGCCCCGAGGGACACACAAAGGAAGTGCTCACATCATAAAAAGGTTGAGGAAGCCTACGTGACAGGCCTGACCTTTATCACCAACCACGGTGCAAATGCACTTAAAAAAGAGACGCTTTACTGTGCGCGCTGGGAAGGACGGCTCACGGGGACGCCGATTGGCTCAAAACATCTCTCCGTTTTGAGCCAATCGGCTCAGAAATGCTGCAATAAATAACCCACTGACGCCACAGTGACAGAGGCCCGAAAACATGATGTCATTACTCCCGAGTGCTACGTTAGTGTACACAGAGGTCAACGGGAGTATCACAAGGCCGAGAAAAAAGTCTGCTTGTGTTTGAGCGTGTCGGGATCTGAGTGTTTGACAGCAGGAAGTGAGAGGGAGAGAAAGGCCGGGTGTTAGTGGCAGATCTTTCCATGACATAAACTGAGATGAAGATTTTTTTTCTTAATATCATGTTGTCAAGGAGATGATTCATTTTGTAGGGTAAAATCTGTGTTTGGGTGAGGAAAGCTTCAGGAATAATGACATAGCGTGACGGAACTGGTACAGCCTATTGCAAACAGAGTTTAGGCGTGCGATGGAGCGGCGAGCAACGCGAACACATCCTTTCCCCTGGCAGAGCTGCTCTGTTTGAGACCAATGCTCCAGAAAACCAAGGCGTTGAGATGTTTGATTGACAGGGAGCTCTGATGTAAATTACTATAATGCAGAAGCAAGAACAAATGAAAAAATGACAGACGGCAGTTTTATGGATCAACATCGAAGCAGAACCGAGAAATGTCAAATCAACCACAATGAATCTGATTCTCCAAATCTAGATCTAATAAACTCGGTCATGCATTACCAAAGTTGGTTAAAGGGAGGAATTAGGAGTTAGGTACCACATTCGAAATCCTTTAAATCGACACAAAACCCGACCACCAGTCACGAGCTCGGGTCATTTTCCCAGGAGTGACTGGAATGTGTGCCACACAGAGGCTTTGGGAACACGGTCCCGGTTGTGTTCTGGACCTGCTGTGACCCCTCGGACCCGGCGGGGGTAACGCACCTGAGGCTCGACAAAGCAGACCCAAAGTGGGTCAGCGTGATGGGGGGGTAGGGGGGGGGGGGGGGGGGCAACGGGGCAAAAGGGGGAACTGTGTCAAAGCGACGCCCCTGTTCCTGCCTGCCCACCTCCTCATCGTCCTCCGCACCCTCCTAATCCCCCTTTCAGAGTTTCTGAGTAATGAGCTGTTGTGGTGGGGCGGCGTGCACGCCCTCCTGCAGCGATGGGATCAGGGAGAGTCTGGCCCGAGTGACAGCAGGGCGCACATGCCAAGGGAAGCCCAGTAGGGGAGGTCCGGGTGTCTCAATAAAGCTTATTAGCAGGGAGGTGAGGAGCTCTGCAGTCAGGAACAACTTGAATCTGAGAGACGGCGCATTTCAAAACCTCTCAGAAAAGAATGAGATGTTGTGAAAGTGCTGTGCGAGTTGCACAAAAGACATTAAACGAGTCGGCACGTTTCCACATGCACCGGACATATTTACAGTATGTGTTGTGTTAAAACTTTATGTGCACACGGGATCTATTTGGGCCGCGCTCAACATTTCTCCCATTTGCCTCCTGGATCTCAAAAAAAACTTCAGAGTTCACTTCAGTAGATGTTATGGTTCCCGCGGGGCATTTTTCTCGTTGTTAGGTTCAAGAACCAGATTCAGAAGTTACCAACAGGCTTCTATACATGCGGGTTGCAGGATGCGTTTTTTATAAGACGCAGAGAGTCTCGTCCGTCTCTATTCATTCTTCAATTTACGTGTCTGAATCTCATCATCCGATAGGAATTTTGTACCAAGAAATGGGAACCGTGTCTCCGTGAACATCTTTGGTTTTGTTCAAAAAGCCAAGCTGAAGGTTGTCCTCGACAGTCTCTTCTCATGTAGGAGACATGGGGTTACACCGGCGGTGGCTTGCAGGAGTGAGCTCCGGCTGAGCATCATTAGTGTCACCCGTGGTTACAAAGACTGTAGCGCCGGACCGCTCATGACAGAAGCTACCAATCTGTGTGTATCCATTTAGCCAGGACTTTGTCCCACCTCACTAATTTATTGTCCGCCTCCATTCAATGGTAATGCGCATTCCGCTATTTGCTCAGATTTCCTGACCTGAAAGTGTAATTCAAATTCCTTTGGAGCTCCTTGATGGATGGCGCTGTCCTAAATTCAATCTGAATTAATCCCTTTTTTAAAACATAAAAGTAAAAAAAGCTCCACACGGGGCCCGGCTGAGGGTATTCAAATGAAAGGACAGCTTATGCAGAATGAGAGAGAAAGCAAAGGGAGAGGCGGGAGGCTGAGAACGGAGAGAGTTTATGGTCAGATTGGCTCCTCGGCTGTACAGAAACCTACTGCTAATTTGGTACAATCACCCCGCGGACCACCCAGCTGTTTCTTCTAATTCGATTGAAAGGTCTGGTCCATCAATCACGGGGCTCAGAGCCCTCCACCAGTTTCCCCAGGGATCTGCCTGGGAGGCAACCTCCGGGTTGGGCTTCTCCTTTATGCTGTCTGGAAAACCTGAGAGCGCGCGGGAGAGACGGAGGACGGAGGTCGGATGGGGCCGATGCCGTCCGCAGAACGGGGGGAGAACGAGAGGGCGTCTTCCTTTCCACTCGATGGGAACACAACCAAAGCCGAGCCAAAGTCCCCCTCAGGCGCCCTTCCGGCAATCTACTTTACTGACGTGGCTGCGAACTGGTGAAAAACGAAGAGCAGAGGGAGCTCTTTAATCACCGCGGGGCCGTTCGGGTCTCTAAGATCTCCTCGTTGGCCTTCGCGGCCAATGCTCGATCGAGGCGAACGCCTTGAGAGGAAGACGTTTGCTTTGAGAGCAGAAGGTCTCCTCGACAGGCGCCGCATCTGCCGTTCCGTCGCGGTCCACATCACATGACCTGTAAATAGTGTGTCCCCGCCAGAGAAGCAAAGGCCATTCAGTCAGGACAATATCAACATCATCCCGACTACTCAATCATGGACATTCTCAGGTTGGTGGCTGTATCGTAGTGTCATTGAGACGCGTGTGAAGCTACCAAAAGGCTGTTGGTTGGGACTTAAAAGTTTGCATCCTACGTCTCCGTTTGTGGTTGTTTTGTGTAACGAGGGAAACCGCATCAAACAAACATTTGAAACAGACGCACATTCCTGTGTAATCTCCAAATTCACTGTGGCGGAGTAGCCACCTGGGCTAGTTCCCAAAGACGGCACGCCGCGGTTTAACTAATTAGCAAACGCAACTCCAAATTTCCAACCCCGTCTGGCTCCCCGCTGGGACTCTCATCCCGTGGCGGTCGGGTCAGCTCAGGCTCCGGCTAATAGACTCCATCCTTCTAGTTGTGAAGAGATACCGATGATGCGTACGCTGTCAGAGGCACGCGGCGTCTCTGTCTGACCACCGCGAGAAGCTCCAATGCATCTGTTCTCCTCTCATTGCTGTTTTGTCGGTAATCAAGAAGCATTCGGGCTCGATCAGCGCCGATAGAAAGTATTAAGAGCCGCTTCCTCCTTTGCCTCATCCGACTTTATTGATGCAAACACCCTGAAGAATGTGTCCTGCTTGCAGAGAGACACAGACCGACGACTCCCCACATAGAGGTATGACAGAAGGGGGGCAGTGAAATAACGATGACCCCGATGACCCAGGTACGTAGAGTTCGAGGAGGCCGAGGCCCCCGTGGGTGTGGTGGTTACTTTGGTCCCCGGGGACGTCTCATCGGACGGGGAGGGTCACACGGAGCATTTGACAGATGGGGAGACAAACGGCGTGTGGAATTCCATTGGCTGTGAGACTCACAGTGAGGGAGGGAGAGTCACGCCAACACTGCAGTACGGGTCGGACTCAGGCCAAAGCTTCATTCGCCCTCGCGGACCTTCAATCAGCTCCAAAATAGACCAAACAACACGATTCTCGGTCGGTTCACAAACTCAAGGACGCGATCGACTCCCTCCAAAATGATAATCATAGAATCAGTTTGACATCCAAACAAAAGGGACGTGCTGTTTTTCATTCCATGCCACCTCATCATCAGAACCAGAGGGACGGAGTCGACTGCAGCCTCGTCTTGTCGATCTGGATCTCATTACGAGCCAGGAATCCTCAGCATGTGACTTTTAACGGCTCCTGAGGCCTTTCGGCTCCCACCGAGATGGAACGCAGTTGTACAAAACGCACAAACTACCATCGCAATGCTGCCGCGTATTTCCACAACAGCGACATAAAGCCCTCAGTATACAAAAATAAACAATGGCCGGCTCGGTAATACCGTCCGCTGAGCTGAAATGTGTACTTTCCCACACTCCACAAAGAGACCCAAGCAGATACAAATACATTTAGAGTCTGTCGAGTTCGTACTTGTGTCGAATATACTGTATGGAAATACATTTGTCAGTGACGTAGAGGCAGAAAATCCAAAATAAGAGAATAAAGAAGTAATATCTACACAATAAATAAAGATAATAAAGTTGCATCCCTTCCTCTTGCATTTTGTAACCTGCTATAAACTGACTGTCACTTAAACAAGAGACACAGGACTCTAAAAACTAAAATTTGAAACTCCCAAGCAGACAACGCACTATGAGATAAAAAGGACATCGTCATTTTTTATGGACTGCCTGGGTTAAATATAATTCCAGCGACAGCAAGTAAGGGAGGAATGCAGCTGAAACATCGGGCCAAGTGTCTATACGGAGTCTATCGCGTCTAAACGATAACAATCAGAGGAATTCAAAGCATTTCATTTATTGAAGCCCCCCTTCAAATACTTCTGGGACACACATGACTTCATCTTCCCTCTCTTTCCTTCCCTGCGTGTGACCTGGGAACCCGGCTTTACAGTACGCCGCTCCCAAAAACATCCACGTAAGCGATCGAACAGCGTTTTCTCTGCCTCAAACTTCAAAAGGGGGTGGGGGGGAAGCGTCTGGGAGGCGAAAGACATCGTGCCGGGGAGAGAGGGAGAGGGAGAGAGAGGGAGGGAATCTACGCCCCGCGGAGGAGACGGAGCGGGACGGCGTCCGCTTGTGAGCCAGTCAGACGTCAGACACGTATGACTATGCACGGAGTCACGCGGGGTCACCTCAGAGCAGTTTACGGGTCGTGACAAAACGCCGTTGTTGCTGATCCCGATCCTCGTTAGTCATCGCTTTGTTTGCCGGCGATAAATGCTGCGGAAATCCACCGCGCATCAACAACTGCCGCTTAGGAACACGACTGGCGGGCGCTGACTAAACACCTTGACATGCAGCAGCGTGGAAGTGGAGCCCAGCTGCGTCTCGTTGTTTTCGACCGATGGAAATAAACAGGACAAGAATACCAAGAGATCAACATACCAGAAAACAATACCAACTGGAATTAGACCAGATTAGGTTTGAGTGGGAAATGGAACGGAGCGGGAAATCAAAATGGCGTTTGTCCCGGCGGCTTACCTGGCTTGGTTGGGCACCTTTGGCACTTGTTCAGACCCCAGGAGGCGCCCACGCTCCCGCAGCAGTCGTCCTGCTTGGTCAGGCCTGGCAGAGGCTCGCCACACTACAACAACACACATCTGCGTTAAATCTAAGAAGCAAGTGCCGAGAACGAGTGTCACGTATTCGCGCACGCACGCTTGTGTGTGTGTGTTCAAACGAGTGCGGGTGGTAAGAATGCTCACAGCGTCCGTGTGTACCTATGTGGAGGGACGGAGGGAACCAGACGCATCTGAGCCTAGTTAGTTGGAGGAGGACACAAGCGCCGAGTCTCCAGAACAACGACGAACCTCCTGGCAAAGCTTTTCAAACCCTTTGCTAACGGTGGAGAGAGATTCCCGTCCGACCGTATTCGTTTTTTTTTCGCCAATGGAGGTTTATGAGACTAAAGACGACATTCTTTTGGAGAACGTTGAAACTGAAAATACTAGCAGGAAAGGGAGAGGAGAAACTACCAGCTGAAGTTTAGGAATGCCTCATCTCTGGGACGGTTCTGTTAAGGTTCTGAAAAATCATTTTGACTTTCTTTCAAAACTCTCTATGAAACCGGAGTAGAACGAAAGGGGAGCTGAAGCTGCAGAAACACGATTGTTATAATGCTGGAAAAAAAACAACTCTCCTGCAGATCAGTGTGTCGGGTTATGAAAAAACACTTTATTACAGCAAAGCCAACATACCGAGCCTCCGATTACACAAACTCACTTCTGCTCTTTCACTTATGTGACATTCCTAAATCGTCAGTGTGCACAGTGTGTTCTAATGACGCAACCCAGTACCTGCCCATCGACGGTCTCCTGGAAGCATCTCCCGACGGGTCCGTTCTGATGGTTGTGCGTTGTGGCGCCGTGGTTCCTGTTGCCGCCGGCGTGCGGGTGCCAGCCGCCGTGGCCCCCGGTGGGCTCGGGTCCGTTCGCAGGCTGCGAGCGCTGCTGGACGGAGTGGGCGCCGTCCGCGGCGGCCGGGCGGGATCCTGGCAGGACCCGAGCCACCTGGTGGACCTCGACTTCAGCGCCTTGAGGGTGTTGAATGTGGACGTTCACCAAGGACGGGCTGAGCGACACTGAGGAAGAGACCCGCGGTTTGTACAGCGTGGAGGCAAATCTACAGCAGCGACACTCAATTTACCGCCGACAGGACAGACGGGGTTCAACGTTTTCTGATTGACAATGAGAGTAAATTGATTTTTGAAATATAATTTAGCAAAAAACATCAAAACGTGGACCACGGCTAGCATCCTGCACAGAGCCGTTAGCTTAGCTCGATCTACATGGGGGATTCGCGGCAATGAGGAAACACGTGTGTGTTTCACTCTCATCGCTCCAGCCTTGCGTTTCCGTTTCAAATCAACACAAAGTGGCGGGGTGTTACCTTGCTGGTTGGACAGTGGCAGAGTGTACATGGAATGGAGGGCGGCTTTGGGCCCCTGGTGGCCGGCGTCCTTGTGGTCGACGGGCGAGGGCCTGGCGGGAGGCGGCGCCGGCAGGTGACAAAACTTCCCCGTTGAATTTGATGGGCACCAGCACAGGTTCCGGCCGATGCACCGGCCTCCGTTGAGACAAGGTATCTGACAGAAGACTGCAGGGAAAGACACGTTAGCGTATACAAGACGCCACATTGAATCACACAGATTTATGCATCCTCATGCACACGGATCTGGTAATAAGAAACACAACGGGTATTCCTAATAGGAAGGGCATGTGCGGAGGCTTCATGTGGACAGGCTGTGCTAACGGTTAGCACCTTTGAATGCTTTTCTCTACTTTGGCCCCAGCAAACGGTGACGGGTGATGGATCGTCATGTGATCAACTCGGTTGGTTGTGAATTTCCCAAACTATGATATCTTGGAAAAATGCTCTTAACAATATAAATAAATTGAATCACGAAACAACTCCAATCACAGTTTTCAGATAACTATGGGAGGAGAAATATAGAAGCACTGGCCAGACGGTGTTTGACTGCATCCACTGGCCTTATTGTGGATGCCAGCCAAGCGCATTACACACCTGGGCCTTCCTCCCATCTATGGATTCACTGACCTGACCTCCCCTAACTCAGAACATCAAAGGCTGTCAAATGGAGAAAAACATCTGTCCAGCTGTGGCGAATAAGAAAAGGATCGTCCTGGCTGGTTGGATGAAGGACGAGAACGTAAAGCTGTGCTCCTCTCTGGCCCGGCGGCACCGCACACCGCAAATAGGACTCCTCTTATAAGACAGCCGGCCGTAGGGACGGCCCACCCGTATGACAAAGGACAAAAGACACATGCGTCCTCGTGGAGACAGAGGAGTGACACGGTGAGAGCGTGAAAATATGGAACGGAGAGACTGAGAGAGGAAGGATGGAACATATTGCAATACGGAGAGAGAGGAATAAGAGAAAAGCACACCGGGTGAGTTCCAGGTATTAGACATGCTCGCTAAACGATCAGTTCAAGGCTATTAAATCCTCTCAATGTGGGGGGGGGGGGGCTGTTCCTCGTCAAGTCAGTTCCATCAGGCACGGAGCAGGAACTATTCTTAGCCTACTGCCGACTCTGCATGCCGCGCTCCCCGTCTGCCCGTCTGTCTGTCCATTTAACAACCTCTAACAAGCAGACACACACACACACACACACACACACACACACACACACACACACACACACACACACTTCTCACTCAATAAACAGACTTCAACCAACCAATACCCGGCTTAAAAGTAAGTGTGAACACGCGGCGCGTATCAAGGGAGGCGTTTGATAATTATCCAGCCAGATTTTACTGCACGGCGTCGTGAACATAACAACAGCATGAGATAACTGTTTGCCGTCCACTTGACATTCCTCGACGAACACGCAACAGCCGAGCAACAACAGGATGCTCGACCTAAATGGAAAGCAATCTCTGTTTAATGCGCTCTTAAACACAGGCGTTTGGCCAAGATTTCTAGCCCAACTAAATTGCGGCATATAAAAACCAACCCGCGCTGCTATTAAGATGTTGAGGTCCCGGGGAATGTGGCGGCGGGGGAAGGGGGGGGGGGGGGGGGGAGGCCTCTGCCAGGACGCCCGAGTGTTTGGAATATTTACTCCATGATCCCCATTAATGGGCACATGAATCTGCAACATCAACCTGTTTATAAACTCAAAAGTCAGCTGGCTCCAAAGAGGGGGGTGTGCATTAGTGCAGGTTGTTGTGCAACGTGCGTGTTTGACGTGGCATGTGTGTGGAAGGAGGGGACCTGCACGTGTACATGTGTGTGGTATGTGCACCTCAGAGACCCTAAAGCAGTAATTAGGGCATTAGTCGGTCACCTAAAACTGATGGGAAAACCAAGAAACGACCCTGCGCTCGGCATCGGCCGCCCTCTTCCCTTCCCATGGACACACTGTGTGAAATTGGAGCAACCCCCCCCCCCCCCAGATAAATGGAAGGTTTAATGTAATCCCTTTAAAATCCTGCTCATGCTGCTACTCTTTCTCTCGTTCTCCGCTTTCATTCGCTGCCGTGCTCCCGGGGAGCGCGTAAAATGCTTAACGGCAGGGCCCGAACCGCAGAGGGGCGGGGCTAAGTGAGGGGAGCGTGGGACCACCGGTGTGTTCGAGCGAGGTGGGCGATTAGCCCCGCGTTACGGAGCTCGCTTTTAATCTGTTCCCTCCAGCTCTCTTTTTTAACGGTGAGAGTTTTTAAGCGCAGCTCTCGGCGGCTTTAATCTCCAGCGTTCAGAGCAGACGGCGCGCCACCGGTTTCTGTCCAGCTCACCCCCCCATCCAAAAAAAAAAAAAAAAAACCCACAGTGTGAGGATCAGAGAGCAGGCAAAGAGAGGCAGAGCCTGAGGGGGAGGGAGGAGAAGGTGGATGAGGCCCTCAGATGTTGCCACTCACAGAGTCTGTAGCCCTGGTCCTTCGCCTGCTGCTGCGGCGGCTGCTGCTGCGGCTGCTGCGAGTTCTCGCTGTACACCGTCGTCATGTCCCCCTTTTCGCAGCTGTTGTGGCAGCGCCCGCCGCTGCACACCCGGCGGCACAGCATGGGCGTGAAGACGATCTTGATGCGGTCCAGGTGGGAGGTGAGGTTGGCCCCTGGAGGACACACACACGCGCGGATGAGGAGGAGAAGAAGAAGGAGCGCCAGCAGAGACGGGCGGGAGACGGGCTGCATCCTTCCTCCGTTTGGGCCTCACAGCGACACACTCTCCCCGTTTGGGGGAAGGCACCCTTATAAGTGTGCGAGGGTGTGAGCTGTGTGTGCCCCAGGCCAGCGAATGGGGGGGGGGGGGGAAGAATACCATTAAGTGTCGGGCCAACCTCCAAGCCAAGCCCTGTATCTTTGGGAGAAGGTGTTTTGGATGTGTGTGTGTGTGTGTGTGTGTGTGTGTGTGTGTGTGAAGGAGACAAAGAGAGCTTGAGTGCAAGATAACATTGTGTAATGCTGGGAGGCTGTTCAACAGCCGTTGCCGTGGTAGACGGTAAAAAAACAAGGCTTGAGCGGCGGACAGCTGAGCATGCCGGGTGCCGGGGTCGGAGGAAGATGAAGTGGTGAAGGGTCCGTCACGTCGGAGAGGTGAGAGGTCAGACTCCCAACCATATCAAAGCATCCACACTCGAGAACACACACACACACACACGCTCCTCTCACAGCAGATTGTGAACCAGCAGAGCACACACACACACACACACACTGTCTGCATCAGGGGGTGGGGTGGCTGGACAGTGGGAGGAGGGAAGTGCCTCCTGGGACGCCGCCAATTGTTTTTTTTTTCTTGTGCTCAATGTTCCGTTCAGCGATGACACCATGCATGTGTACGTATGTAAGCTAAGCCCGGTTGATGGAGCCAGAATGGTTGTGTTTGTTTGGACGTGGCTAGGGAGAGTGGAAAAGTTAAGCACGCATGTAAAGTGAGATCAGCTGCGAGCTACGTGATGCCGAAGGCACGGCGCGCCCCGCCCCCCCCCCCCTTTTTTCACTTGTCCTCACCTGCTGGCGACAGCGCGTTGCTGAACGGCCGAACGTGCTGCTGCTGCTGGCCGTCGCCGCGGGCGTCCGGGGGCCCGTCGCGATGCCCCTTACGGTGTCCGTGCCCGCTCCCGCGCTCGCCCCCGTGGCCGTTAGCGTAGCCGTTGCCATTGTATGGTATGGCGTTGGACGTTATGGGCCCGGAGGATGACGGGTAACGTTTCACCGTGCGGGAGGTCCCAGTCTGCTGAGGGGAAGAGTCAGGGGGTCCTCGTCTCACTTGGGTCCTGTCGTTCACATCATCACAAGATCATGAACACTGTGAGATTCATGTGAGTGCGGCCAGGCGTGCAACAGAGAATGACGTTCCTGCCAGACACATTTCTTGGGTCACAGCGTAACTTAATGGCTTTGTAGATGACAATCAATGACTTGGAAGTCATCTTGTTTTAATCGTATTAATCTTTTTTTTAGCGTAGGGGGTCTCTTCGGACATCGGAGCCGTCAGCTCCCTAATTAGAATTTCGAGAGAAGATTTTCTCAACCAAAAAATAAGGAATCAGGCAACCAATGGGAATAAGACTTTGTTTCTGTGGCTGATCAGTTTGCCACAGAGAAAATGTGTGGGATTAAACACTTTAGCTCTTTCCATCAGGACTGTAAAACCTTTCCATCGCCCACTGTGTTTGCTTGCCTGGAGTGTGACTGAGGCCGACAACAGTAACATCCTGAGTGTTGCACCGAGCTGGAGGAAGTATTACCAATTTTTTACCAATGAGCATTTGATTTTTACATTACAGGTCATTTAGCTGACGCTTTTATCCAAAGCGACTTACATTACACTTTAAAGCCATGGCTTTTTCACATTTTGCACGGGGAGCAATTAGGGTGTTAGGTGTCTTGCTCAGGGACACTTCAACTTGAGACATGGGGCAGCCGGGACTTAACCACCAACCTTGCGGTTCCCATCGCACCCGCTCTACCCCCTGCGCCACGACGACCCGATTTGGGTCAATTACCTAGTTTGAGTAACCAGGGCGAGGCCTCTCAGGGAAGCGGACCTACCTCGGCTAAGGGGGGGGATTCAACCCTGCAAAAGACATCTGGATCCCACTGATCTGCCCAGACAGACAGTCAGCAGAGAGATCAGAGGAACGGTTCCACAAAGCACACCTGTGGCCCTGTAAGGCTGAGGCTGTAATCAGACCCCAAATGAGGATATAAACCATGCATTAACACATATTACATGTGGGGGTTTCTTTGCGGCACACCACATATTTACAGGCTAAATCAGCTCTGTCGAGCAGACGCACAACGACGATCAGGCAAATAAACAGACGTGTGCACGCTACGCAGAAATGAATACGTGTACGCCTTTTACCAGCTGTGCGAGCTACAGCGCAAGCCGATGCTTGTCCCTCTATTCACAAACCACATTCCTGCAGCCGAGGGAAAAGGACACTAAATGAAAAAGGGGGGGAAAGAGAGACAAACATAATGGTCCATCACGTCATCTTTACAAAAGACAACAGGCGGCGTCTATGGCCGACAGCTGCTGACCCAGATCGCGGATGTCGAGGGCGGGTCTGGAGGACGCGGCGTGACACGGGGGAAGCGAGGGGTGCTGGTGTCGAGGCGGGCGGTAAGGGTTTACAGGAGGTGGATGTCCCCGCTACAGCGTGCACTCCAGCACATGATTGGGTTTTTCCATCACTGGCGGGGACACCTGGCCGGGCGAGCATCCTGCTTCACTTCCTAGACCTGTCCAGATGTTGCTCTCTCTCTCTCTCTCTCTCTCTCTCTCACTGTCAATGGCAAAGTGACTTCCTCCCATCATGAGCTCACCGCTGCCCTCTCGGCCTGCGGATCACGGGGCGGTGAGGGTGAGCAACTCCCTCTGCACGTTTGATGTCATCATTAGGGACTTCAAGGCCTCGGCAATCCAAGCAGGAACCAGATCTCTCCCCCCTCCCCCCCCTTCCCCACCTCCCGACCTTGTTCTGGGTGACTTGAAAGCAATTTTGAAGACCTCTGGCAAGATTACATGGTTTTAAACATCGAATCGGGAAGAAATATATGGAATTGATCAAATGTGTCCGTCATATGATGTTCAGATCCATCCCTCGGAAACAAAGTGACCACAAGAATTTCCAAAATGTTGAACAATTACTTTATCAAAGTTATTAGTAATGACAAAATAAAAAAATCATTCTGAACACATGTTGGAATCATGGGGCCAAACCATTCAGACATTTTGATTACAATGCACACAATGGGATGCTTAGCTGGGTCCAATGCATACCATGTATTATTTCATGTTCAGAACATGTGCTCGACGATTACATCTAGAAGGAAGCAATCAGTTCTTTTACACCGACAAGTCTCAGTCCAAACACTTGATCAAAGCGCGCGTGTCTGATGGCGGTGGCGGCCTCCAACCAAGACATTAAACCTTTTGGCCGCGTCCAACTCTGCACTCATCATCACTTACTTCACGTGTACGGTGAGCCGTCAGAACCAAAGCCCTTCACATTTGAGTAAATTCCAAATCACAGCGATGGCCAAGAGTCTGCGCTGCGCGCGGAGCGACTGTAGCGCGTCCAACGCGCCGCAAGAGGTATTCTTTGGCACTCGCCTGGCGGCGGATGTTTGAACTCACGAAGATTCACGCTGGTGAGATCATGACGGGCAGCTCGATGGCGGTTCCGTCTGACCTGCCGACCCAGCTGGGACGCGGCGCGGGACGTTTTTGGAGCACAAGCAGAGAACTGGAGGGTCGTCCGAATGCCGCACGAACTCTCTGATCTCCGGGCTTCTGCCGGCGCCAAAATTCCAATCGCCGGTGGGGATTGGAAACCACCACTTCCCCTCAAACCAGTGGTGAATGTCTTCTTTCTTGTACAGACAAAGACATTTTGGATTCATGTGACGAACCTGTTCACCTAAATGTTCACACGCACACACACACACACACGCTCCCAGTGACCCAGATCCTCAGAAAGAGTTTACATCTTCAACCATCTCTGCAGCCCACTCTGCACGACAGGGCCTAACAGTGTTTACATGAAGCACTGCACAGTAACTTACTGCCCACAGCTGATTCACTCACCAACAGTTTGAGGGGCTTTTCATTATTTTCTCTCTACATAAATCTCCATGAGAATCACGGCAAATGTGTCAGCTACGACTGACGGCCTCCGTTCTCTGGTCTCAGGGTGCCGAGCAGGTGGGGAAAGGATCGTGCAACGAAACGTTTGACGCCGGTCGACCTTGGCAAAGCTCATTTTTCATTTTGGATTTGTTTGCGAATACCAACGTCCGTCGCTGGCATCTCAGCGGCTGGGCTTCCTGGCCTCGAGGCGGCTACCGCAGGAAGTAGGGCGATATGTGGAGCTCGTCTGGTCGCTGGATGCGGCCATTTGGCAACGAACACACTTGTCTAAACAGGACAGGCCGACGGCAGGCGGAGGTGTCTGGGCTGAGCGTCCCAGTCTGGGGTCGCACGGCTCAACCCGATGACTTCCAGCCTCGTCACTTTGTCCCGTCGCCCCCTTTGTGTTGGACTGAACTTGACCCTGAGAGTGACGAGGGGCAAACCGTCAGTGGGTTTACGACCAATCAACCCAAGACTCACTGTACCCGGCTGCGGAAAATCTAGTCATTGTTTTTTTTCATTCAAATAAAATGTTTAATGGTTCCATTTACCTCTTGCCAACGAGGAACGTCAGCCAAAAGCCCCGATTACATAAGAACTACACATAATTAGGGGCAATTTGAAGGCTACTTAGTAAATGGGAAATGACAGTTTACACACTTTTGTCTCCTTCACGGACGGCTTTAAAGAATATTGTTCCTTTCCAACGCTCGAGCTCAAGCAGATTATCAGTGGAATCTGAAGAAATGATGCAAACAGAGATTTATGATTGTAGCTGCAAACTGCATTGAGAGAGCGAGAGAGAAAGAGGCCGGTGAGCTAAACCCTGTCTGAGGGGTATAAAGACTTTCCAGGAAACGCTATCATTTTCAGAGGCGGCGCTGTTGCTATGACGATGAGAGAACCTTGCGCCGGACGGCGATTTGGTACGCTCTTGGTTCATAATCTGTCGAGAGAGAGATGGGGGGTTTTTTTTTTTTGGTCACAGAACTCAACAACAGATGTCGCCCTGCGTTTCCCGGACTTAAGCTCACAGACGAGGGAGGAGAGTGCAAACTGTCCCGAGACGTGTCATTCAAGAACATTAGTGGATTTGTAGCCACTTGACTCTTGTTCTTATTTTACTATCCAAAACCTTCTGTGAAATCCAAGACATTAACTACAATGTAGGCATGCAAAGAGAGAACATTCCGGATTAGCAGCAATGTATAGTATGACTCCGCTGCAGGGTTTGATTTGGCAAAAAGGTCCGCTTTTATAACCGACATGTGACAAGAAATGAAAGACCGATTGGATATAGCAAAGAAGAAATATGTTTAATTCAGAATTTGGTCTTTCTTCACAGCCTTGGCGTATTTTAGGAGGTGAAAGTCTGTGCGGGCTGAGAAAGGATTAATCCTGCACCCGGTCAGAGCACCAAACCCATCTGTACCACCAGTGGTCAAAGCCCACTGCGGTCACACGTCTCATTCCTCGGGCTTTATGCAGAACGACCTCATCCATTCATCACTTGCCACTGAGGTCCCAGTGTATTTCTTTCAATAAAAATCCTGAGGTTTGAACCGCTTAGCATGCACCAATAAACATAACATCCAACCTTAATGGCATTTTCATTATGCTGTTGTTGTGTTCTTCATAGCAACAAGGTCACACACACACACACAAGCGGTGGTGAAGTTTGTGTACGTTGGGAATTCAAAAATAACTTCAGCCTCCGTCCTCTTAAAGTCCCTCCAAATTACAGCTCTTTGTGATTTCTTAATCCTGGGTTGTAAACGTTTTAACCTCCCATGGCTGCTCTTCCAACTTGTTTAGCAAGATAATTCTGAAGCTTGCACGTCAACATCGCATCACAAAACTCACCTAAAAACGCCCGATTTGGTCTTAAAGCAAAAGGCTTTCTCGGCAAGTTAAAACATTTACGCCAAGCAAATAAGCACGTTTCCTAAAACGTTGAACTGTTCCTTTGACAATCTAGCGGCACACATAATGACTGAATACTGCGTGAAAAAAAGTAACTCAACAATGCCAGTGGTCCAATGCATGCCGCACTATGAACTAGGAGTAACAGGAAAACACCTGGCCACAGAAACATGTGCAGCGTTTTATTGATGCGAAACAAAGACACGTTCT